GCGCGCTACGGGCTAACGGAACTGCCATTAGCAGCAGGGTTCTGTATAGAGTTCTCTTAGAAATCCCGTTTCAAACATGCGAGAGAAATAATCATTTTTGAAGTCAAACTTTCATTCTCAAGATCAAACTCGCATGAATTACTTCAGATATATGAAACTTGCCAAATCGATATATCATAACGAATGTACAAACTTGTACTAATCATGCGACTAAGAAATTTTTGAATTTTAATAAGTAAAGGAGCCTTCATCAATATTAGAAATATATTTCTTGAGAAAATGCCTAAATCATAGTGTAACTATCTTTCATCATTATTTTAAAATTTCTAAAACTAACATAATTTATAAAAATGAAATATTTCAATAAAAGATTTTCAATAAATAATTATAACGAATGCTATTCACTTACTTGTTAAAGCTTCAAATTCTCAAAATATTCCTTGCCTTTAATTCTGGTCAGGGTCTCGTTCTTCCTCGCACCCTCAACTCAGCTGGCCTGAACAGTGGTGGACCAAGAGAAAAAAGAAACGGACGTACTCTTGAACGCTGAACAGGGGAAGCTATAATCTGAACGTTATCACCATATCCAACAATAGAAGAAGAATGATTCAACTGCACAAACACAAGCTTATAGTAACAGCCTTTCAGCACTCAATACTTTGTGACTTCACAGCCCAGAATGACACGGACGAACAGCACACAGAAAAACGCAGAAACAGGGATCACAGAAAGGAAGGGATAACGAGGCTCACAGCTGAACTTGGGAAGAAAGAACTCGTGAGAAGAACCTTCTAGCTTCAACGATTTGGTCCTTTACTCCATTTACAACTTATATGTGGACGATACAGGGAGAGCAGCGGGCGAAGAAGGAAAAAAAATAGAGATAGGAAATAGGTAGATGAACCTGAACGTTTTTTAGAGCAACTGTAAGCCTCCTCCAACGTCGGTGACAGCAAGGAATGAAAAAGGCAGAGATGAGTCAGTGATGGTAGAGGAACAAAGAGTAACACTCTAGATTCTTCTCGCTTCTCCTCCCACTCTCCTAAACTGACAATGCACCTAAGCAAGGAAAGAAAGAGAAAATTAAATTTAATGAGGGGAGGGTATTTTAGTAATTCTACAAAAGCTAAAATCACAAAAATGGACCCCTTTTTGTGCCTTATCAGATTTGAACCTCAAGCTTAATAATGAGTGAATTTTGTACACACTTTCACTACACCAACTCCCTTTCTTGCCAAAATTATCCTAAAATTAATATATCTATAGTTATAATATAATATTATATATTAAGTTTTTATTTAAAATTCCTGAGTTATTACATATCCCCTCACAAATTATTCCGGCAAAACTTAATAGTAAATTCATCTATATAATTATGTTTAATTTGTAAGTGTCACATGATCCTACAAAATCTAGAAATTTTTTTAAAACAATTAAAAATTATCACTCATCCCACAATAGATTTACAGTTGGACAAACACTTTTTATTTATTGTCTCATGCATATAAAAAATAAAAGTACCAAATGACAAGTTCTCACACTTATTCTTTTTATTATGAATTTCACATATATCACTAATTTTTTATTATAAACTTCACAATTATTTTCAATATTCAATTAAAAAAATTTCATTCATCCTACGGTAGATTTATGATGGGACGAATACATTTTACATTATTATCTTAGACATATGAAAAAAAATATAAACACCGAATGACATGGCCTCACATCTATTATTTTCATTACGAGTCTCACATTTATCATTTTTTTTCACAATAAACCCCCCACTCAATTTTATATTGAGAGTCCCATATAATTTCTAAAACATAAAAAAATTGAAGAAATAAAATAAAATTACTATTCATCCAATCATAGATCTATAGTGGGATGATTTATGCCCTGTGCTTAGTATTTAAAGATAGAAAATAAATATTAATATTAAAAAATTTTATTTTAGTGTACTTAAAGTGAAATACATTGTTCCATATAAATTAAAATTTAAGAAACAGCTTCTATTTTATAATATACTATCCTTGTGTATATATATAAAAAAATTAATATTTTTTTTTAACTTCTCGCCTCCCTAGCTTATTTTTTCCAAATTTTGTTGTCCTGAAGTTTCACCTTAAAAAAAATTGAACATATACTATAATAAATCATCTTACAATTTATGTCAAAGTATTATTTATAAATTATAATTTTAATTATTGTAAATTAAGCAAATAGTATAATTTATGTTATAAAACTATTTATCAATCATATATGTGTATATTACAAGTAATATAATGGCTGAGAAAAGATTAAGCCTACAGTAGAAGATAAATCCATTGACGTTATATAATTAATTTGAAGCACATGATTGCACAATTGTGTTTTATAGGGTTTCAAACCATAATTTATTTTACATATAAATAATAAAATAATAAATTTTTTACCTTACTCATTTGAAAAGTATGGCCAAAAACTTGTTCTGTATCAAATAAATTATTTTATGATTTGTTATCTCATGTTAGTAATAAATATATAATAAATCTTTTTATCTAAACTATGTTATTCTCATATAAATTTAAATTAAGATATGTTTTATTTTATAATTTTTATTTACAAATAAAATTTTATTTTAGAAAACACAACTTTCTTTGTTTAGAATTTTTTATCCTTTTGATATAAAAACATAAATAACAAATTGATCTATATTAAAAATATTTGCAACAAATCATCATTTTTTTTGGGTATTCAAAATTATTTTATCTTTTTTGGTAACAACATGTTGTGTTATTTTTACATAATTAACCTAAAAATTTGTTACTCTATCCATTTTAAAATACAAAGGATAATTTATTTTTCCGAGACATGTCTTATCCCCATAGAACTTTAAATTTAATAGAATATTTTATTTTATAATTTGTAACTTAGCTTTATAGTTTACAATATTTATAATCTTGTGTATATAAACTCAAAAGAAAAAAATTATTTTATTTAGAATTTATTATTTTCAGTAAATTAATTTTATTTATATTTATTTTAAGAAAATTACTTTTTATACTTTATCTAAATAAAATTGATAATTTTATTATGTATCTAACGCCTATTATTTTTACTAAAAATCTTATAGCCACTTTTAATTTTTACTTTTGATCTTTCAAAATATAAGAATTTTATTATTTTTTACACTTTGTCTAAATTTTTAACATTTACAAATGAGAATTTATATACAAAAAATTTTTCACCATATGTAAATAAAATTTATTAATTAAATTATAAGTCTCACACTCAATTTTTTAATGGCAGGTTCCATACTTAGGTTTTTTTATCATGGGTTTCACATATATGTTTTTTTTGTAAATTTTTGCTAATAAAATTATTCCCCATTCCATGCGCAAGAATGTTTTAGTATTTTCAAAAAATATATAGATATTAATTAGTGTACTTATAATGTAGAGAAAATACATATAATGTAGAGATACACTGCCCTCTCCTCTATATTATCTTAACTCTAGATATCTCTCTTCTATTTTAAAAATCATCTAAAGCATTTTTTTAATTCTTTAACTTTGCACAAGTTTTTATTTTAGTTCCTTTTTAAATATGATCTTCTGATTTTATTTATAAATTATTTTTAATATGTTTTATTGAAACAAAAAAAATTTAAAATTTATTAAATTTGTCTAAAAATTTAATAAGTTTTAAATTTTATTACTATTAAATATATATATTTTAATAATACATTTTCTCTTTTCAATATTTAATAAAGGATAAAAGAAAAAATTTGTGATGAAAATTTAATGATGTAACTTATAAATAGAACAAAAAAATTTTCCCTCTTTATCTTATAAGTAGGAATAGAGGGAGTAAGTGTTATTTAAAAATCATTTAAGTTGTTGACAAAACATTTAAAGGATATACTCTCCTCATTCAAAAATATAAGGTATTTTTTAAGAAGTTAGATATTTAAAAATATAAGACATTTTTAGTCTTTTGAGGTGTAATCATTGCCTTTTTTCAAAAGTGTCTCTATTGATAATGACTTTATATTTATAATAAAGTATTTAATAGGGATAAATATAAAAAGATAGGTTTAGTTAAAAAATAGATAACTATTTTATTAAGGAGTGAAATTCAGTTAAAAATGTCTTACATTTTTTAATGAAAGAAGGATTCTTTTAAAGTTAAAATTAAAGTTAAAGGATATTATTTTATATTTTATTATCCTCTACATATAAAATTAATTTGTTGCTTAATTTTATATTTTATTCTACATTTTATTATCTTATAAATAAAATTAAAAGTAACAAATTATTTTCTTTAGAATTTTTTATTTTAAGTAAATTAAATTTCAAAATAAAAATCATCAGATTACCTACCTACTTTTTATACTCTGTATAAATAAAATTCATAATTTTAGTGTATATCTAATGTCTATTATTTTTATTACTTACCACTAATTTTTACTATGAATCCCACATAATCTTTAAAAACATAAAAAGTCCTATTCCTTTTTTACATTTTATCTAATTTTTTACGCTTGCAAATGAAAATTTATACAGCAAAAATTTTTCATTTTATGTAAATAAATTTTATTAATTAAATTATGAGTTTCATATTGACCTCACTTTTTTTCAATAATAGGTCTCATATTCACTTCTGTTTTTTTTATTATGGCTCTTACATCTATGTTTTTTTTTAACAAAATATTCATTAACTATTTTTTAATCAAATTTAAATAAAAATAAAAAATAGTAAAACATATAGTTCAAAACACTGTAGATATCAAGTGTTTTGATACGGTAAGAATTGATGATGTTGATTGATATAATTATATGTTCGTTTTTTTTTTCCGGCCAAAAAATATTTTTCTTTTTTATTTATTATTTTTGTTTAATTTTCTTTTTTTGTTTTTCACAGTTTAAGCTTGAACGGTGAGGCCATGGTGACCGTAGAAAATATTAAAATTTACAGAGAAAATTCATCAACAAAACTTTGTCTATCGGCGAGAATTTTATGTGCTGGTGGAGCCTATCTGTGACCTGTGTTCCTGTGGAGAGAACGGTGTCCGCGGTCGTTTTCTTCCAAACGACTGAGCCTGCGAGATTCGACAAACATCATGTACGAAAGTTGGGTGTTGTAATTTCTATTGTGCGAAGGGATTTTCCAAGGGAACCTTCTTATCTTTTTTTTTTAAAAAAACAGAGATATTCGTTGTCCTTTCATTTATGACAGAGGCGCAGCTGCAACCTGCAAGAGACGTTCATCTTATTATAGCTGCCCTCTTTACGACCATGCTCCCATTTTGACTGTGGTGCCGTGCAATTTGGCGAAATGGGTACGTCTTATTTATGCTTTTCCCAGAGAAAAGGCTTTTCAGACGGATATGGCTTGGAATTTTACATACTCTATCATGAAAGTAGGTCCTAAGAGTTGCTGAAGTCTCTTGGGGGTTTATTTCTTTGAAATTTTCATGTCTAGAAATGTGTTCATTTCGGTGGCATTTGTTGCTGACATTGATTGATACTGATGGATTTTGAAATTTGACGTGAAGTGGATATTACTTCTGAGTTCTTCTTGTGTATGTTCCTTCCTTGTTTTTAATGCCAGTGGAAAAGCATAACAAGCAGTTATTTTTGTGATTGATAGGATTCTAATGGATTTTGAACGTGAACTTGGATGGAGGGAAATGTTTTTCGTGAATGAGGGATTCTGAGCTTTCCATTCTGTAGTCTATTGTTGCCAGAACTTCTGAAGGCAGTTGCAGTAAAATTAATGGAATATTTTTCCCTTGGCTGTTTGATATTAATAATTGAAAGAAAGAAGGAAGTTTGTATTGTGGGATTTGGATAGTGTTTTTTTTTCCCCGTGGAAGGGAGAGCGAAAAATGGATTTGTGGGTTGTTGCAGCTGCTACAGGAGCCGGGTATTTAGCTAAATATTGGAAAAGAATTTCAAAGAATAGCGATGGCACATTTCAGTTGTCTCTGTCTTCAGAGGATTCCAAGGTTGAGAATTCTGAGTCCCTTAGCTGTCCCTTCGCCAGACAAGCATGGAACGATGGATTAGGCAAAGTTTTTTCTTCAAATATATATTTACTGGATGGACCTATGGCAGGAGAAATGGCTTCTACAGCTATCAGAGGGCTTGATAATGAAGAAATAAGAGGCTTCAGAACTTACAGCAAGAGCAGTGTACTTTCTCTATCAAACCTATCATTACCAATATCACCAAACGAGAACTACAAGGACATTGAAAATGTAAATGAGCAAAGCTCTAACATAGCTAGCAATTATGGATTCCATTTTTCTGATTCTTCCGCAGAAGTTGGTTCTAAATATTATTCTGCTGGAAGGAAAATCTCTCTCAGGACTAAACATTTGCTTGGACATTTTATTAGACCCGTAAGTTCATTAGACAGTTGCTTGTTGGCACAGCTGCTCAAGGAACATGCCAAATTAGAAGAATATGTCTTTAGCTCTCATATATCGCCCTCCACAGCCACAAGGTCATTTTTTGTTAGTGATGGGAACCAAATAGTCAGCGGAAAAAGTATTGATTCTTCCAATGCATTGATTCAAAGCGAGGACTGTAAGCTGCATGAGAAAGACTTTCATGAAAAAGATGAAAATGTATTTGGGATTCCATCTTTACCAAAAATTGGATCTTCCGAGGATCCTAACAAGGTGAAATTTAAGGTAGGAAAAGGGAGGAGTGGAAGATTGAGCTCTTCCAATAATGTGTTCAGCAGAAAGCACATGCATTCTCAACATGGTATGGCTATCAAATCTGTAACATCTTTTTAACCTATTCAATAACGCAAATGCTCCTTTTTTTTTTTTTTTTTTCCTTTTTCATGCTGAACTGACTTTTGAGGAAATTCATTTGAACGCCCATATGATATAAACGTTTTTTTTTTTTTCTAATAGACATTTCTCTACATTCTATGTCTAGTTACTGTCTTTTTTTAAACTGGTTATGCTTGCGAAGAAAAATTGTTTTAAAAAAAATCGTTTTGATCTTACTTCCAGGCATAGATTGTATTTTTCATTCAGTTTTGAAATCTCAGAGAATGAAACTTGTGTTTTATTATTTATTTGAAATTCATTGTTTTTTAATAAAAAAAATCATTGGTTTTTTATCCTCACATATTTATGAACATTTCATTTCTTACTCACAATCCTCCCAGGAATTGAAATCCAAACACTCAGTTGAACGTTGTCTTTGTTTCTACATGAAAGGATATATGGGTAATAGGTGTGTGTTTTGGCCCTGTGGGAGATAACGTGTTGATGTCAGCCAACTTTTTAACCCAGAGAAATGTATCAGGAGCCACACATATCGACCCTCCAACGATTTAGATTGCTCTTTCATATAATGATGTCATGTCTAACTTACGTGGTGCTATGTATTTTTTTCACTTAAGCTGTGTCGGCTAATACTTCCACAATTGTCAGATACAATGTTCCTCTTCAGTCTCGGAATTTCCTTTGGCATAATAGCTTTCTCCATGACAAATAAAAGAGAATTTGATAATTTAAGAGGATTGCTGAGGCAAACCGAAAACTTGGTTCAAGATCTACAAGAGGAACTTGAAATGAAAAATTCAGTAACAGTAAAGGAGCTGCATAATGAGAATTATGGTCCACTGGACATGTGTGATCATTCCTTTTATGAGAGAGACACGAGCAGGTGTTCCCCGGAAAAGCATATTGATACCTCTCCAAGAAATAACTACAAAGAATTACATGATCAGAGGGAAGAAGAAAGTTCAGGATCTATGAGCAAAATTGAAGCTGAGCTTGAAGCTGAACTTGAGAGATTAGGTTTGAACATGAATACATCTAGCCTGGATAGAAGACTATCTGATTTTGTTGAGGTAATTTCACGTGTTTATACCTGCATCTTCTAGTAACTACATAATGTAACAGGTGCACAATCAATCTTGAAATGAAATGCCTGCTACCATCATCTAGAATATGCCTATTGTCATTGGTCTTATGCTATTTCTTTTCATATATGCATATCGTAAACAGATAGATTTCATGCTGGATAGTGGTGGAAGGGTCAATGAATAATTGCCCCCTTTGAAATTGAAGTTTGCTTATGTTTGGTAGCAATATTAGTTTTTTATTGCTTTTCTTGTCATCTCAGACTTAAAGTAGCTTGATTATGACGTATGAGTTTATTGTACTATATTTATGAATAGAAAAAACTGGCCCTAAAGCAGTGGACACTTTGGATGAATATTGTTAAATTGGGCATTTATTTCTCAATTTAAAGATCTTAATGGAAGCAAACATAGTTAGACAAAGGAGCACAAGGTAATTTACAAGAGTTTACTATTTTTCAGGAGTAAAACACCCGGGGAATTGCGTGGAGTTCTGAATGTGCACCTTTTATTTGATAATTTCATGTCTTAATTGTTATTGCCATCATATGGCAATTGGCATGCGTTTTTGCGTTAGTCCTTCTGAAATGGAGAAGAACAACATGTTGTTTGATAGGTGTTTTAAGTTTAGCGTTATCCGTACTTTTATTGACTTCCATACACTGAGTAAGATACATTTGAAGGCCTTAAACTGCGCTTGATTCAGAAAATTTAGCAGATGCCTATTTCAGTATTGAATGACACAAAAAATATGGATACAAGTCATACGAGCTACAGTCCTAACTGTTTAAAAGTTAAATAATCTAGTTAATTCAATTACATGAAGACCTTCTACATGATTTTTGGTCTGCAGGATGGTTTTCTCCTTCATTTAGTTATTTTCTTTTTTAGTAGAAATGGTATTGCAATACTATATGAAATTTCCTGGTCAGATGTTTGAACTGGAGAAGCTAAACAAAAAAATCGTAACACTGCCATGGAAATTTTTTTACTCCCTTGGTTTCACTTTATGTAACCTCATCTTTCTTTGTAAGAAATCTCAAATTTTATCTCATTTTCTTGGTGAAGACATCTTTAATTTCTATTTTGGACTTAACCTCTCATTTACTCACTCTATTTGGTAGAAGTGTTATGTTGGGAAACCATGATTGATTTGATGTTATGGCCTATATTGTAGTAATTAATGTGATGGCTTTTGCAGTAAAGTGAAAGATCACCTTGATTAGCGCCAAGGTAAGGATGACCTTATCTTTTTTTTTTTTGGGATATATAACGAGGAGGAAAAGAAAATTAGCACTGTATCAATGCATATTGTCTAAATCTATTGTTAATCCTTTCTTCTTCCATTATCTTCCCTCCTGGGTCTGTTTCCTAGAGAAACCTCGAAAAGTGGGAGGGAAAAGCCTCTTCATTGACCTTACTCTTAGTCAGTTCACCTTGTCGTCATCTTTGGCTGCTTTATGTAATCATGCCTCCATTATCTTTTTTCAATCAACAATGGTTGATGGTGCACAAATTCTTGCAGCTTGACCCGGAATTTGAAGCAGATTTTGCTCAAGGCGAGTTGCAAATTGACATGGTCAGTTGGAAAGCTTTTGCACATCGAAAATCAAATGACGATGCTGGTGACATTTCCACACCTCTTCCCACAACTTATGCTGTTTCTCCTCATGAACTGAGCCTGCGTTTGCATGAAGTTATACAATCTAGACTTGAGGAACGCGTGAAGGAGCTTGAGATTGCTCTTGAAAACAGCCAGAGGAAGGTGAAAATGACAGAATCCAAGCTCAATGGTCGTTATCAGAGGAAGTTCCCAGGCTGTAGACAGGCATCCCCCTTTACAGGAGAGGCTTCATCGGTTGATGAGGAGTGGGAGCATCCTCTTGTTCTGAACTTATCAGGTGAAGCACTGGATGCTTATAATGAGGCTTATGAAGAGTTAGTAAAGAGAGATGACTCAGAAGAGAATTCACCATCAGGCATTTACAATATTGGCCCTAAAGAAGGTTCACATGGTCGGCGTGCATTGGATTTTCAACTTAGTGGAGTAAATGGTTCTGTAACTCATTCCTCAGTTAAAATGTCAGGAGAAATTACTTCAAGCAAGGTGACAATGTTGGAAGGCCAAAGCTCAGGTTTATCTAAATTAAATGTTAATGTAGGTGAAAATAGTGGTCTTGATTATGAGATGGAGTTGATCAGGAAAATCGTTGAGAGGACTAAGAAAGGTTCTCCTGTCTTTCAGAATGCACAGAGGATATTGCATTCAACGGATTAAGATGAATTTTGATTCAAAAGCTGTATATTTTAGTAGGAATTGAAGGTGATCCTCCCGGAGATTTTGATCCCTTTCACTGAATCCCTCTTTGAGAAATTGAGGGAAAACTAGTTTACTCTGTGTGTGTGTGTGTTTTTTTTTTCTTTTCTCTTTTTTCTTGGGAGGGGGGAGGAAAATTTCAACATTTCCCCCCTCCTCTTCCGTTCGATTAGGTTAATAGAAATAAAACCTTATGAATGAAGATACCCATTAATACTCTATAGTGTACTGATTATAGTGTACTCAGGTTTGTGGAGTTTCTTCTTTTTGACAGTTTCCTTAGTAACAGCACAAATCGGCGAATTAGAACCTTTCGAGGGATCTGCCCAATGGTTTCAATCAAGTTACGCCAAAAAGTGGGCATGGAGGTCATCAATATTCAAGACATAAGCACGGTGCACGGAAAAGTTTAAATAAGATTAAACAAGACATAAGCCCCGTTTCATTGCCGTCTCAAAACTGAAGGTAACACGAACAAAACAAAATCTAAACGATGCCCAATAGCAAATGACTTCACTGCGAGACACCCAACCATTTTGAGAAGTTCTCAAATTCTGTGTAATCGCTATCAGAGATCATGGTGTGGTACCAAGCCTTCCCTGCGGCCTTGATCGCAGAAGCCTCCTCCTGCAGAACGGGGCAAAGGTAAAATGAGGTTAACAAATCCACGCCAACTATCTAACCAAAATGCCAACAATCAGAAGCTCAAAATGATGCATCAAGACAGTGGGCAAAGACACCGGCAAAAATAAAGACTTGAAACAAATGCAATTTATATTCAACTTAAAAGCACATTTTGTGTTCGTTTTATAACTCCGTCACTTACTATTTCACATCAAAATGATAGATAGATAGATAGCTAATATACAAGCACTTAAAGAACAGAACTTATGCGAAGTTTTTCGATCATTTCCTATCAGCATCTCAAACAAATCTCACTCTTCAGAACTTTTAAAATGAATCAACCCTGTGACGCTGATTAGAAAAAAAATGCAGGCGTCATATTTTTGCTTAAAATGCTTGATGCGAGCCCCAAAAGGTAAAAGCTGCATTTGAGTTCTCTCTGCATTTAAAACTGGATAATGAAATACAACATAACAGTAAGTGGCTTTAATAACTAGCTTGAGGTTCTAGGACTAATCCTCATGACCAGAAAAACAATAAGACTCAACCTAACTCATCTTGTTTCCATACTGTGTTTCCCCTTTTACCCCAGCCAGAAGTATTAAAATGGGCAATCAGCCTCCACTTTTGATCTCCTCAAACTATTTATCGTTTTTGTTTCTATACTTAAGAAAAGCTAAAGGAGTTATTTGCGACCGTAAGGTCCCTAATAAACTTAAAGGAAAATTTTATCGCACTGCTATCAGACCGGCAATGTTATATAGTAGTGAATGTTGGGCTCTAACGGGACAGCAAGAGCATAAAGTTGGAGTAGCAGAGATGAGAATGTTACGATGGATGTGCGGACATATACGTAAAGATAAAATTCGAAATGAGCACGTACGCGAAAAAGTGAGGGTAGCACCTATTAAGGAAAAAATGGTAGAAAATCGGTTGAGATAGTTTGAACATGTACAAAGAAGATCAAGGGAGGCACTAGTGAGAAGAGTGGAACATATAACTTTAAGTCCGATTAAGAGGGGTAGAGAAAGGCCTAAGAGAACACTCTTGGAAGTTGTTGAACGCGATCTCTTAATTATAATATTCCAAAAAGCTTGATAGATGATAGAGCACAATGGCGTCTTGAAATCCATGTAGCCGACCCCACCTAATGGGATAAAAGCTTGTTGTTGTTGCTGTTGTTTCTATACTTAAGAAACTTTTATCCTTTGACATAATGGAACGAATTGAGTTTGAGAGAAATTTATTCTTACAACATGCATTAAATCTGTGGTGCGCTTGGTACCATAAAAAATGCCATCATAAATTGGTTAAGAAAAATTCAACATATACTACCTTCATCTTGGTAACTATTGAGTTTGTAATTGACAAATAGAGTTGAATGTACCATAAGAAATAACATCATGAATTGATTTAGAGAACTCAGTATGCACCTAAATCTTCCTACTATACAAGATTAATTAATAAAGCCGCCATCCAACTTTTCCATCTCTTAATATTACCCATTTAGTGAGTTGCCTGGGTCACAAAGGAGCTCATCTGTCTAGATGTCTTCTGTGGGCTATTGTTAACCGTAATTCTTGTTAGAAGAAAATATATCTGAGACCAACCAGTGTAGTATCAGCTAGGGTGTTCACGGGACAGACTGACTGAGACTGAAAATTGACCAACCAGTGGGCTATTATTAACTATCAACTTTGCTATGATAGCATCATAGGAAAAACGACATGGAAAATGATAGCATCAGTAACCTTAGCAGATTCTTTACACGTAAAAAGCATGTAAACTTGCACGGACACCAGAACATAACAAAATCAACGTGTCCATATGAAATTAGAACTGTGTTTGAAACATGTTAAGTTGTACACAGGCTCATGAATGCATTTCCATAATAACTTTCACTCGGCAGATGAATATGTATACCCAGTAATTGATTCAGCATTATATGTTAATTATATACAAAAGCAAGAAATTAAAAATAGGGGAGACGTACCTTAGGGAGGCACTTCCTCTTCTTGTTAAGCTTCTCTTGCTTAGCTTTCACACGCTGAGCTTCAGCCAGCAGAGCCATCCTCTTGGCCGTCTTGGCATATGGATTCAGCTTCAACATAACATTCAGATTCTTGAGAGGGTTTTTCTTCAATGGAGCCCTCTTGACTTCCTTTCTGATCGGCCTCACAACCGACTGAATCTCATCAGAGTTGATAATCCTAGCCAAATCAGAATTGACCATCTTAGCTCTTGGCAGCACGTAACCCCTCTTCTTCTCTGATGCTTTGTCGAATGATCCATATGTAGAATCCAGCTTCTCAAACGCGGATTTGGTCCATATAACGAACCTCCCAAGATGACCACCAGGTGCTAGCTTAAGCAGATTCAGTCTCTCCACATTCGCAACTTCAACACCAGGAATGTTCCTGAATGCCTTAACTGCCTTAGCTCCTTCTGTTCCATATACAATCAGAGGACCCTTGCGAGAGATATAGCGACGATTTCTCATCTTACCTTTACCGGGCCTGATCGCGTGGCTGTCCTTCGCCTTTTGAGCATCAGGGAATGCGCCGATCTGCTTCAAAACTTTGATCGCATCCTTCGTCTTCTCAACGCCCTCGGCAGAATCACTTACAACCAGAGGCATTTCCGGTACTGACTCAATCCTATGACCGCGAGCCATAACCAGAGATGTAACTGCCGATGCAGCAATGGCTGAAACGACGGCGTGACGTTTCTGAGTCACATTAACCTTCCGGTGCCAGCGGCGCCAGATCTTAGTCGGAGCAAACATGCGGCCACCACGGCACATGTTGCCGAATGCAGCCTGGCCAGCACGATGGGTACCACCACCAGGAACACGGGGGATACGAGACACAGCACGACCGGTACCCCATGATTCGGCGGAGGTCTGGTGACCAGCGCGCTTGCTGACGGCGTAGGGTTGGCGGCTGTTCCTGGAAATGTTGGAGTGAACGAAGGTGACAATGTCAGGACGGATCGAAGCTTTCATGACGTCTGGGAGGGGAATGGCTGGGGAAGCATCGACAGCCATGTCGCCTTCAAGGGTTTGGACGGTAACGAGGGGACGAGCAGCTGCGGCCATGGCTGCAAGGGGAAGGGGGAAGGAAGAAGATGGTTAGAGAGGAAGCAACACAAGCAAGAAAGCAGGGTTTTCAGTGTTTTTAGGTTTTAGGTTTCTTGAGAATCAGGTTTTGGGCCCAAATATTATATAGGCCCAATTTTTTAAATTTTGTTTGCCTTTTGTTGGCCTGTGAAATTCGCAATATATAAACAATTACCCTCTCAAATGTGTTATTTGGCCTTCATAGCTATATTTGATATTGTCTCAAATTATTTTATAATTTGACCAGTAGAGATTATTAATTACAAAATGCACAATGGCAAATTCATTAAAATTTGCAACAAATGTAATTTTAAGAAATTATTCCCTAAATTATTTAATTCAGAGTAAAAATTTGTATACTACAAAAAAAAAATTTATAGGCAAATTTTTACCATTATTAAAAAAAATTAGTTAATGTAATAAAGAGTGTACACTTCCATGTGGATTTTTTTAATAAGTATTAAAAACTTCATTCCATTGAGGAAAAGTCAAAAAAATAAGGCTAAACTATCGAATATACAACACTTAATAACATCTATCATCATACTCAATTTTTAAGAAAAGATAGTTTATAATTAAAGATAGAGAAATTATCAACTAAAGTATGATTAAATTTAGCTAAACGATCAGCTAGAAGATTAATTTCTCTATACATGAAATCAATGGTAACGCTCCAACCCCTATTTATAAATTAATAACATGATAAAAGATGTCACGATAAGGATGAAACCCTTGATAGGGTCTAGTGAGAGCATTTATTGCCTCCACACAGTCACAAAAAAATTCAATATTCTCCATATCAAGAAACTATTATAATTCAAGACCTTTTATAATTTCCAAGATTTCCATTATAATAGGTGGATAAGGTCCCACCTTAAGCTAAAGCCTGAGAGCCATTGACCTTGATAATCACAAATTGCACATCTATAAGAAGCATTCCCACAACTCAGTGTTGATCCATTAATGTCTAAGCAAACAGTACCTTCTTTTGGTGGAGTACAATAAGTTGTTAGTTGTTCAATCTATCTATAAGCATTAATTTTACCATAAAGTTGCCTGTTAGTGGTTGCTTTCTAAATGCATCTTTTTACATTGACAAGCAAGATGTTTTGATCCCAATCAAAAAATCTTTTTCACCTTAATACCTACAATTCCTAGCAAACATGAGTGAAAAGTGTTAGCCAGTTAATTTTTATGAAACTAACCTTATTTGAGTTGTTTTTAGCACTCTAGTTTAGCCACTCTATCCCTTCTAAACTATTGAATGTCGTCCAAAATTTAAGGTTGATGAGCTCAAACAAAATTTTCCACGCTAAGTCATAGTCTCTACACAACATAGGTAGCAAATTTAGTAGATAGACAGTTGAAAGGGCAAGTTTTATAATATGAGATTCCTCTCTTTGTCCTTAGTTGCATCATATAAAGTTTGTTCTTTTTAAGAAGCTAAAGGAATGTCTCCATCTTCTTCAGAACATTCCATTTCCAGAAGCACTTCCACAGGCTACTTGGTTGCTACACATTACCTATAAAAAGAGAAGAGTATGCAGATTTAATAGAAAAGGAACATCAATGGATGGTTTCCAAAAATAAGTATCTTCTCCTACTCTCTCTCCCTCTCTAGATATGAGTGCTAATAATATGGTTTACAATATCAAGATAAAGCCAAATCAACAATTTCAGAATGTCCTACATACTTCAAAGGGTGAAAAAATCACATACCATAGCATTTTTTCTATAAAAGGACTGTTAAGATGTTGTAATAATGAATCAAGTCTGAGCTGAAACTCCTTAACATTGACATTGGACACATAGCCATGGTTGTTGCCAGCATCAATGATACTACCATATGGATTCACCTTTATGGGGTTAGGCATGTAGGAGGAATGGGAGGAGAGAGACGTTGTGAGAGAGAAGGGGAGGGGAGGGTTAGAGGGGGAGAAAGGAGGGGAGGGTCAAAGGCATAATGGGCCCCACCACTCAAGTTAACAGACATACTTCAAAGGGTGAAAAAATCACATACCATAGCATTTTTTCTATAAAAGGACTGTTAAGATGTTGTAATAATGAATCAAGTCTGAGCTGAAACTCCTTAACATTGACATTGGACACATAGCCATGGTTGTTGCCAGCATCAATGATACTACCATATGGATTCACCTTTATGGGGTTAGGCATGTAGGAGGAATGGGAGGAGAGAGACGTTGTGAGAGAGAAGGGGAGAAAGGAGGGGAGGGTCAAAGGCATAATGGGCCCCACCACTCAAGTTAACAGACATTTAGTTCAAACAATGTTAAGGGCCAGATTGCCACTAATGTAATGTTTAGGAGGTTAACATGCACCAAACACTAGTTTAGAGTTCAAATCGTTCATAGATTTGTCATTTATATCTTACATTTAACTATTGAATTAAAAGAATCAACTTGATTAACCCTTGAATTATTAAAATAATAAATTTTAAAGAATAAACTTATAGTTTAAGGTTCAACTCTGAGAAAGCTTTCGATAAACTCAATTGGGATTTCATTCATGATACATTAATGAAGATTGGTTTCGACGATCACTTTATTAATCTCGTCATAGCTTGTACTACAATTGCTTCTATGAGAATTTTGTAGAGGGGGGAGAATTGTCCAAAATTTACACCTTCTAGAGGAATCAGACAAGGGGATCCCTTGAGCCCATACATTTTTATCCTATGCATAGAGCATTCAGGGCAACTTATTAAATCTAAATGTGAAGCAAAAAGATGGAAACCTTTGAACTTTAGAGTGAGAGGGCCTAGCATTTTCCACCTATTTTTCACTGATGATCTCATTCTCTTCACAAAAGCTTCTGTTAGTTAGATGGAGGAGGTGAAGAGGGAGATGCAAAGTCTCCATGCTGTATTCAGTCACCGCATCAATTTGGACAAATCCAAAGCATTATGTTTGCATAATGTTCATTTCAACAAGAAAATGAAATTGAGTGAAGTCCTTAGGATTAGGGTTAAAGCTGATCTTGGTAAGTATTTAGGAGTACTAGTAATCCATTATAGAGTTACAAAATCCACTTTTGATCCTATTGTCTAGAAAGTTAGAAAATAACTCTCATTATAGAATTGTCAATTTCTTAACATTGCAGGCAGAACTGTTCTTATCAAGGTAGTCATATTAACATTTCCTAACTATCATAAGCAATCATCTCTTCTCTTAAAAGGTACTCTTTTTGAGATTGAAAAACTTGATTGAAGTTTCTTGTGGTGCCAAGACACTAATGTTAGTAAGATGCATCCTATTGCTTAGGACCAGATTACGAAAGCCAAGAGAGTAGGTGTCTTAGAAATTAAAAATTCAAGGCACCATAATGAGGCTTTCATTATAAAATTGTATTGAGGATTGGTAACTCAACCTAATGCTCTCTTGGTTAGATGTTTGAGAGCTGAGCATCGATATGGCGATGATCTCATGTCAGATATCAATAAACGCCAAATCACCTCTATAACGTGGAAATCTGTCATGGAGGTTTGGGAAATGTTTTTTCGATGGCTCGAGAAGAAAGTTAACAATGGATTATACACCAGCTTTTGGTGAAGTAAGTAGGATAAACCCCTTATTGAGTATATCATCAAATTGCTTGAAGTCAATCCAAGCAATTGTGTGGCTGACCATATGCTTCTGAGTGGGGGTTGGAACACGTATGCTTGGTAGGATCTCTTTCCCTCTTGGGATATGTCTTGTCTATATAAAATCACTCCTCCTACCATAAATGATAAAGATTGCCTAACATGGAAGCTAGTAGGTGATGGTAACTTCTCGATCAAGAGTGCTTATAACTTTCTTACCCAGAAGAAAGGGATGAGTGGTACTCCCTTTTGGAATAAAATTCGAAAGTGGCAAGTTCTTGAAAAAATTGAATTCTTCTTGTGGCAATTATCTCATGAGAAATTAATTACAAACTCACTTAAAGCTAGGAGAGGCCTATCAAACACTTCTTTATGGTGTAACTGTAAGGAGTCAGTCTTGCATATTTTGAGAGATTGTGAGAGAGCGAGAGACGTGTGGTCTTATGTTTTAACTCTAACTCTTTGTCTAGTTTTTTCATGGTAGTTTGCAAGGGCTCTACTAAAACTCTTAAGAACAAACCAGCCAAGGGAAAATTCAGCTCATAGGATTATACGAGAGTTTTGCCACCTTTTGTTGGATTCTTTGGACATCTAGGTGTAAATCTGTGTTTAAGGAAGCAACTTCTTAGCTACGGAGGCCATACACAGAGGAAAATACCTGTTGATGGAGAGCGCAGTGGATAATGAACTATAGCATATGGTTTTCCAGGGATTTTCTCAACCAAATAGAACATGGACTCTACCCCTTAATGGTGTAGTTTGTGTTGATGTAAATGGATCTATGGAAAGACAAAAAAGTGCAGCCTGTGGAGGAGTTATTTGCAATGACAAAGGAGATTGGATTATGGGATTTCAGCAAGACTTGGGATATTGCTCGGTCACTGAGGCTGAACTCATTGCAATTAAATCTAATTTGATAGTGTCCAGGTTTCTTGGCTTGACTAAGATTTGGATTTTTTTCAAATTCCTTGAACGCTATAAACTTGATCAGAAGGAATTTGTTAGGTATCCATCCTTTAAGAGCCTTACTGGTTGATATTCACGACCTGTTTTATAAAGAATGGGAAGTTGAAGTTTTTCACACAAGATGAGAGAACATAATGTGCGTTGATCTAATGGCCAAAAACAGTTTTCATGACACACCTAGGCTTATCTTTATACATACGGTGACTACTCAATGCTAAGAAAATTTTTCGGCATACAAGAAATTGGTTGGCTTACATCCACCTGATCCTTAATTCACTAATATGTAGTTATCCTTGTTTTAGTTCTCAAGCTTTCGGCTTGCCCTTGTTTTTTTTTTTTTAAATTTCATTTAACCCTTGAATTAAAAAAAAAAACTCTAGAAAACTTACATGTCACTAGATTATAAGATTTTTAGTCATGTGTGTGTATCTTACATTCATTGACAAAAAAGAAAATTTTAAAGAATACAAAATTAGAACCCCAAGTGATAACAAGGATTTCGTTCGAGATTTTTTTCATAAAAAGAGTGTTTTAGTATTAAAAGGGCGTTCCCTTTTTCCCTGTTGGACCCGCGTGGGAATGGTTGCACCAACCGTTCGCCAGGTTTCCGAGCCAAAACAGATGGAAAAAAATAATCAAAAATGCCTAAACACCCACCAACCAAGACGCTCGCTGACTTACAGAAAGCTTGAATCTTTTTCACCTTTCAATTCTACAATGGCCCAGAACCAGAGGCGCACAAGCGTCATCGACTTTCTAGGGGAAGAAATTGTGAGAATCATCGCACCAGTATCAATCTGTATGTTTTTGGTCGTCCTCTTGGTCTCAGTCCTCGATACCAGTTCCAACTCTTTTTCAGCATTAATCTCCAGCGTAGCCACCATTGCATACAATGAGACCAGCTCAGACTCTTTCTGGGACAAATTAGTGGGTGCCCTTTTGAACTCCCTTGCATTTGTAGCCGTTGTCACTGTTGCAACTTTTGTTTTGGTACTTCTCTTCTATCTTAGATGCACCAGATTCTTAAAACTATACATGGGGTTCTCTTCCTTTGTTGTTTTGGGATTCTTGGGCGGTGAAATTGCACTCCTCTTTATTGAAGATTTTAGTATCCCTGTTGATTGCATGACCTTTTTTCTGGCTTTGTTTAATTTTGCTGTCGCTGGTGCATTGGCTGTATTTATGTCCAAAATGGCAATAGTTGTGACTCAAGGATACTTGATTCTTATTGGGATGCTAGTTGCTTACTGGTTCACCATGTTACCTGAATGGACCACCTGGGTGCTTCTCGTTGCCCTGGCACTATATGATCTTGCTGCTGTTCTATTACCGTTTGGGCCACTAAGGCTTTTGGTGGAACTTGCAGTCTCAAGAGATGAAGAAATTCCTGCACTGGTTTATGAGGCCAGGCCAGTGAACTATGATAATGAGGATTCAAGGGGTTATTTAACTCAGAGTCAGAGGAGGGTGCGGAGAGATAGGGGGCTTGAGAACTCCAATCCAAGTGTAAATTCTGTGCTGGATGAAACCCAAAACAATGAATCAAACTTCAATATTGATACAGGGAACGCTATTAACCGAGATTTGATCAGCAATGCTTCAGATGCCATCCATGAAGACGCAAATTTGGTAGGGGAAGATGCTGTTTCAAATTCAAATCCTTCTTCTAGCATCTATAATGGCAGAAATCTGGTGGAAGCTGAAGAGGGACGGGTTTTAGAAACTGAGTCAGGGCTCTCTACACCCCTGATTGATCATGAAATGAATACGCAGCTCCACAGACATGAAGATTCAGTGGCAAGTCAAAGTTTGATGCCAGAGGGAATTGGATTAGGGTCATCTGGAGCAATCAAGCTAGGTTTAGGAGATTTCATTTTCTACAGTGTGTTGGTTGGCAGGGCAGCGATGTATGATTATATGGCAGTGTATTCATGTTATCTTGCTATCATCGCTGGGCTGGGCATCACTTTAATGCTATTAGCATTGTATCAGAAAGCCTTGCCTGCTCTTCCAGTGTCAATAATGCTGGGATTATCCTTTTATTTCTTGACCAGGTTCTTGCTTGAACCATTTGTTTTGCAATGTTCCCTGAACCTCCTGATGTTCTAACCTATAAATCATAATTCCTGAATTTGGTGCTTGCCTGCGATTTATTGTTCAAGAAATCATGATCATATCCCATCCATTTTTTTTTGTAGGCAGTCAAGTTATCTGAGCTTTATCTTATTTTTATCAGTAATATTAGCTACTTTGAGCTTCTGCGGTATGCATCTTTGCCCTCCCGATCATTGATGCTAGATTCTTTTTCATCACTAATATCTAATACAGATTATACTGTATGTTTAGAGTTCTGTTTTATCTTCGTACTGGTTCTTCACTAAATAACTTATGAATTTATTTAGCGAACATTGGATTGGATACTGCATGGCCGACCGAAGCAAAACCAGAGCATTGTGAACAAATTAGATGAAAGAAGAAATCCTTTAGAATAATGGAAATAAGAATGAGAATGATAATCATATTCTAATACTTTTGTTTGGTACATTTGAAATCAGCAGGAATACTTTTTGTAGTACCGTGTTTGGTAAAATAGAAAAAGGATGGGAATGGAAAAGATACAATATCAATTTACTAAATTGTCATCAATGAAACAATATCTCTGTATATATAAATTAGGATTCTCAAGTATACATGTCAGCTTATTAGTAAGCTACATCAGCTTCATGCTTTTCTCTTGTGCTGACATGCTAATACGTGTACGCTTGCTGAATAAATGTGCGAATCCATTTTATTTTGGGTATTAATTTTAGGATTTAATATCAAATAAAAGAACCATTATTTTATTTTGGGTATAAATTAAGTTGTCTAAGAGTCAACTTTGACTTATCATTTCTCCTCAATTTGTCCTTGATTTTATTTAGCAGCAAAACTTGAAATAGTTAATAGGTTTATTTGTTTTCTATTTTTAAAAACTTTTTTGTTTTAAAAACAGAAAAATTTAAAAACTTGTTTGGATGATTATTTTCAATTTAATTATTTTAAAATATGTTGTTATTTTTTATTTTAAAAAAATAGAAATAAATTCAAGTTATTTTTATTTTATTTTTCTTATTTTCAAAATACACTATATTTAATTATTTGAAATTACAATGACAATGACTAATTTCTATAAAAAAAACAACCATCATTAACTACCTATAATCATTGCTATCAATTTATTTTTAAAACTATTTTTAAATTAATATAACCAAATGAATTTTTATTTTTTTTAAATATAATTCTAAAAGCTGTATTATAAAACATGTTTTAAAAACAAAAAATGGGAATAGAAACCATACAGGCCCAATATCTGCATATTTTTTTGAATTGTGATTCTATGACCATTGATTTTTCTATAAATTTATGATATATATTCTATGACCATTGTCAATTTTGAATATATTTAGTCAATCTTACAATTTATTGTAAATTGTTTTTTTTTAATCTAATCTTTGAGCATCTAATTTAATATACACATATATCAATATATTAATTCTGCAAATAATTCAACACATAATGAGGAGATGAATTTATTTTAAATTTAGTGAAAGCTTTTGGAAATAAATTACATCAGTGGTAGTAAAAATTGTTTATTGGTCTACAAGCATATTATTTTTCGTGCATCTATTTTTTCTTACTACATTTTCATAATACTTTTAAACTCATTTTTACCCCAACAACTTGTATTCATTTTCTCATTGAATTTGTTCATTATGCCATGGTGTTTTTCATTTATTTAAAGAGGCGAGGTCAGAAGTTTAATCACTCCATTCAAGTTATTATAAGGATGTTATTTTTCTATGAACTCCACTGCTTTAGTTGTGTGTTCATTTCTTCATCACCTTCCTCTGCTTCATCTTCCAAAAAAAATTTAACCACATACCTGAGAGTTTAGCAGGATATGACATTTCATGATTTGATGTTGTTTGGGCTGTCAACCCACTTCATAATGATTGGAAGATTAAGATTTGAGTCGTGTACTCCATATATGATGATTCGATGAGACCTAATTATTAGAGATAGATTTTTAAAAATGACAATGTACTAATGGCTTTCATTGAGTTGTTTGCATTTGTTTTTATTTTATTTTATGAATTGTTTGTGATGTTTGTATGTCCATTTCAGAGTAATTGTATTTACGTTGTTGTGAGAGAAATTTTCTTTTGAAATTCTCATCTCAATTGCATGAGGGCAGGATGTAGGTTGTCTTAATTTGGTATTGGCCAGGATGTCAAATCATATGAGATTATGAATCATACGTATGAGATTAGCTTGTAGATTTCTATTAATATTTGTTTCCATGATGAGGAATGTTATACACATCGATATAGATTTCTCTTCACTTCATTAACAAATGTAATAGACCATAAGATTGACAATAAATACTTAATAGGTGATATTTGCTCTCTATTCTGTTTTCACTGCTCATGCATCATAGGTATTTCCAATACGCACATGATTTTTTGTTTTCTTTTTCGCACATTATATATATAATCAGGATAAGCGAGCACACATGTCGTATTATAAAGCTACAGTACATGAGATCCACCTTTTACTCCCCTATTGACACGTGGGTGAATAACCTTGTATTATTGGATTTAATTTTTTCATTAACTGTGTAGCAATAAATTGGAATTAGTAATTAACATTTACTATTGGTTTGACCATACTTTATTATAATTTGATTAGATTATATAAGAGTTTTACTTCTCACTTCTCCTCATCACATAATTATCAATTTGATTTGAATTGTTATTTCTCCGGCCTTTAGGAGTCAGTTTAATTTTAGAATGTGATTTGCTTACATATTGCACGTTACTCTAATTTTGCTTTGTGACCACCATTTAATTGTACAATTTTGATCTGTAGGGTAATGATTTCATCTTTCATAGACTTTGAGGTTGGTTGTTTTGATGCAATTACATTAGATTATAAGCATGGATCCAACATTGCTATGAAAATGAAAGATTTAATTATTGAATGAGATCAGTCCACAAACATAAAGAAGCAAATCAAAATTGAAAAGTGATTTATTAATTACACACGTAACATGTGCAAGTTTAGATTACTTTTTTATGAGTGAAGCTTTTATGATCATTTTTTCTTGTCAATACTTTGCTGGTGTTCGATCAACTTAGATGCTCATGATATGTGTTTTTATCCCTATCTTTATATTGGGTTTGCTCTTTATTTCAGTTTTTTTACAGACTAAGTATTAAGAACTTTGTCCTTAAATTTTGATATTTTTTAAATAATTATTTTTCATGTATAATTGTTATACAATTATTCCAGTTTCTCTCTTGTATTTTGTTGATTAAATTTGCAAAACAAATATTATTTCTTCGATATATTATTCTCCATCCGGCACCATTTATTAAGCCTTTTTTGTGATGTAATCAAGTGCATTAATTCTCCTCAACAATTCAAAGCAAATTTTAATCTCCATTAAAACAATAACGGAGTCATTACATTTGCAGTTGAATTTAATTTGCGTGATTGCATTTCAAAACAAGAATATGAAATTCATTGTTGGGTATAGAAAAATTAATTAATTCTCGGTGATATCAGGGGAATGGATAAAATTGTATATATGATTGATTTTACATATTTTTAGGAGGATCGATTTCAATGTATAATTTAACATCTCTAGTGCAAAAAGCTGTCATTTCTTTCTTTCTTTATTATGTGGTTATAATTAAATTGCTGTCGTATGACTTATCATTTAAATGTTATTTGAATTCATGTAAAACATGAAAGTTATCACTCATTACTGTTCAAGCGTTCTCTTTTAGTAATGGAGGTTTCTATATTTTATTTTATGAGACACAAGCTAGAGATATAACTGGATATGATGATTTTGTATTACAAGATTTGTCCCAATTTACTCTGATAATTACTGAAAATAGCTTGTGATTCAATATTTTGTTCTTTAATGTTTTTTATTGCAATTAATAATGTTTCATTCATTAGGTTCAAAATTTGTATTGAGATAGATACTTGCTATTTGTCTAATAAATTTTTGCACCATAGAATAGTATAAATTCTAAATTGAACTGGAGGAAAAAAAAAAGGTTTATCTTGATTGTGTTTAATGAATCTTTGCAATCCACACATTGAGAATAAAATTTGCAATTTATTAAAAATAAGGTAAGAGAGTAAATTAATCTCTAAATAAGAGGTCCAGAAACAATTAAGACACTAAACTCATTTTTTATATAATATTTTCCTTTAACTTTTGAAAACAATACAATTTGACTCCTACCATTAATTAAATTTATTTTTGACCATTAGTTGATGAAAAAAAGATAAAAAATAACCTCAAAAATTATAAAAAAAATTAAAGCAAAGCCAAAAAAATATAGACAAGGATCTAAAAAATATAAAAAAAAAGGATTAAGAAAATTTTATTGGTTCTTTGTTGTAATTTTTAAGGGTCTTTTTTTTATTTTTTGATCAATTAATGGTTACAATTAATTTTTGTAAGCGGTAGAGGCCAAATTGTATAATTTATAAAAGTTGATAAGGAATATTGCACAAAAAAAAAAGTATCCTTGATACTTCTAAACATATAGTTTAGGAGTCAATTTATTTTTTTACTGTCAAAAATATAATCATAAATCTGTTAAGTATAGATTGCACCATTTAGTAAGCCATTTTTTGTGCTGTCATCTAATGTACTAATTATCCAAAACAAATCAAAACAAATTTATTTCATTTTGCATTGAAGAACTACTCAATCCTCTATGATTATTTAGGATTATATTAATTAGTGAGATCTAAATTTCTTAAGGATATTCTCTAGATTATATTAGTGAGATCTAAATCTCAGCTCGAATAAGTTTAAAAAAAATTTAATGTCAAGTTTAGAAAAGTTAAATCTTTTCACTCAAGCTAAAAAATAATATGGCCAGTATATATAGCACATGTTAAATATCAATTAATCTCTTAAAACTTAGTTTATTTTGTACTTGAAGACTATACTTAAACACACATTTGAGTGCATTATTATAGATATTTTTTTAAAAAATGAAAATTCATACTGTTATATTTCTATTATTTTTAATATGTAACTTAAAATAATCTTAAAAATGTATTTTAATATTGATTTTAAAAATTCAAGACCCGCAATTGTTAAAAAAAAAAAGGACAATACAAACTTTTCTCAAGATGGGATGAAGACATTTCAACACTTAAAGAGAGAACTTGCTCTTAATTTATAATAATGTATAAACTTCAATACCCTATATGACATTAAATTAAAATATATGAATAGCATGAATGAAGAAGTACAAGGGACATGATCGATTTAATTGATAAAAAAAGTCTATTGATTTGTGAGATGAATTAACAAAAATTATATGCATTGCAAAATAAATTGAAAATATCTAGTCTTTCCACAATATCTTCAAATTTAAATATGATATTTTTTTTGGGATTTTTTCATCCTATCTCAATCTCAAATAATAGGAAAGAGATGCAGGATAAAGTACCATCCTTTTTTTTTTTTTTGTGATTGGACATGGGATAAGGTTGTCACAATTTCATCTCATGAATACTCCTATTATCCACACTACTACACTTATATTAAATAGGTACTATACTTAACCTTGAACTTTAATTTAAAAGAAAATATAAGCATGAGAGGTACATTTTAATGTGTTTATATATGCCATAATGTAAATAGATTAGATGATGGTAATTGACAATTGACAATTATTTTTCATATGGCTATATAATTAGGTCAAATTTAAACATTGCTAGGCTAGATTGGAGATAACTCTTCTAAAAATATCTTCTATATTTACACAGACTTAAACTTGAGGCTTCTTGCTTAAATGACAATAGAACCCATTTCACTTGGATCAATGATTGGTAGCAACAAATAACAAGTTTTAATATCTTAATTATATAATATATTTGTAAAAAATTTATTATTTAATTTATATATATATATATATATTGTACAATATTTTATCTTTCATTTAATATTATTTTGTATTGAAATAAAAATATATCTGGTGGTACGAGTGTATTGGTAGTTATTTATTAAATAAATGAATATCGGAGACGAAATTGTCTTCATATTATTTAAATACAGCTTGTTTTTATTATTATTGCTGTATACAAACTTTATATAATCTTGTAATTTTAGAGAACCTTTAAATATCTTAAAGCTTACAAAAGTTTTGGAACGTAACTTTTTAATCTGAAAGATAAGTAAACTTGAAGATTGATTTTAAAAATTAAAAGTATTTTACTTATTTACAACAAAATAAGTAATTGAAATCTTGACTAAGGATCCCGAAAGTCGAATATAGTTAGGTAATTGCAATTGCCCACACTGTTCTGCCATTTTTAGTACATTCATAAGAAAATTGAATTAAAATTCAAACTTCCGTTGACGTTACCGGTCATGATTCTGGAGTCTCCGAAAGCTAATATTGTTTTTCTGTTGCTTTATTTATTTTAATTAGCGAGAATGATTGTGTAATGAAAGGCTCGTTTCGAGACTAAATAACGAACAAACCTCTCATCTCACCTTTTGCCTCGGAGAATTGAATTAAGAAAAAGATCGTTTTGCTGCGTCAAAATGACGAGGACGATGAACAAGTTCGTTAGGGGATGGCGCGGGAAGCAACTGAAGTTCGTTACTCCAGGAAGCGTGAGAGAAGAAAATGCCTAAACTTGTCCAAACACCTCATTTCTCGTTTCGTTCTTATCCCCCCCTTTTTCCCAAATACAATCCATCTCTCTCTTGCTTTCTCTGATCAATTTCATTTTCTTCATTCCCAGATTCTCTTTTAGCATCGTGCAGGTCAAAACTGGATAGTCTCAATTTCAGGGGTCAAGTTGTTTGTCTCTTGGGATCCCTTCTGTGTAAGCTATCCGTCTTGGAATGTGTTTGAATGGAATTTAGGGGAATGCATTTTCCTTTTGTATCTGCAAGCTGAAGCGTAAATGGTTAAGTTCAATGTTTCATTTTCCTTTTCAACGTCAGTGGCTCCTGTCCTTTTTTAATCCATCGCCTCCCGTTAATTGCATCACAAGCTACTCTTTTCATTTAAAAATACAAAATACTTTTAGCTAGATCTCGTTTTTAATAAAATAATCATGTATTTTTAAATTAATATCATCTTTTTATACATATTCTTATTTAATAGAACATTTAATTTTAAAATAAATATAAAATAATTTATTTAATAGTGATATTTTTAAAAAAAGCATATTAATTATATTTTGAAACAATAAAAATATATTATATTTTTTAATATTTATTTTTTAAAAAAATACTTTACATTTTTAACGGGCAAGAATTTTTTTAGTATTATTTATAAATTACTTTTAATATATTTTAGTAAAATTTAAAAATGTAAAAGACGTTAATGACGTTAGGTCTTTTGCATATGTGGTGCAAGGCGTCTTACTTAGTATAGTACCGTTGTCGTTCACTCGCTGATTGGGCTTGTGGCTCCCTCTCCCTCCCTCTAGGGGTGTGTGCATAAGAACTCCGTGAATCATGGTGTTTAATTTTAAGATAAACCCCCTCTCTTTTTATTTATAAAAAAATTATTAATTTTATTTTTTTATACAAACAAAATCATACTTTTTAATAAATATTTATTGCAAACTTTTTAACTAACCTCTCATAAATTTATCATTCATTGTTATAAAAAATAATTAATGAAAACTTAATTAATATAATTAATAAATAGTATTGTAGCTTAATTCTTTTATTTTTAAATACAATTAATATAATTAATTGATTTTGTTAAACTGTGTGATATAATTTTTCTTCTTTTTATGAAGAAAGTAAGAGGGAGTATGTAATTATGTATTCACATCATTGAGTTCCAGATTTTACAGCTTGCTTGTCTTTGTTACCTGATGGAATTCAGTACTGTTCTGGTATTGATTTTAAAACTGGTCCTGCCGCAGGTTTAGGTCAATGCAAACAATTTACACATCAAATAAGGCAGGCCCATCATCTTCTTCACAAGACCACTTCCAGTTTGGAAATAAATCTAGAAAAAGCTCTTGATCCAATTACCTTAGAGCCTGAATTACATTGTCATCATTCTTCGGTTTGCAACAAGGACTTTGGGGAATGTCTAATGATGATTTAAGAAGCACACATCCAACTACATCATTACCAGGAGATCCCTTCCCAGTGCCACCAAATATGAACAACATGGAATCTGTTGGTATTGCTCGAAAAGTTGATGAAAAGTATGATCGTGGAAATGAATTGAATGACTCTGATGTGAGAACAAACCCTGGTAACACAAATGGTGAGACTAATTTTTCCTCTTCAATCCAGTATTTAAGCCCATTTTCATTTTCAGCATCAGCTGCATTGGAATCATCTCAGAGCTACTGGCTGATAATGCAGCTGGTAACTAAGACCCATACGAAGGCAACTATACCCCCAAAGTATTAAATTGCATCTTATTTTTTTCAGGTGCAGAACAAGAACAAGAAAGCATGGCGAGTAGCAGTTCAAGGACAGATCCTGTTGCTGATATTGGAAAAGCTGGTGGTGCAAACTCACCTGCAATTATTCCTGCTCAGAACTGTGAATCAGGCTCAAACCAATATCCAGAAATACAAAATCCTCCTTTGCAAGTAATGGAGCGTCCAGAGGATACTGTTCCCAGTTCCTTGTACAAGATTCCTTCCCACGTCTTCAATAGCACCAATACAAATGCTCCAGAATGGAGTATTGCCTCTAACGAGTCATTGTTCAGCATCCACATGGGAACGATGAGTTTCACTAAAGAAGTACATTGGTTTAAATCTGGGGAGTTGGAGAAGTATAGTGACATGATCATGGCTGGTCCGCCTAATTCATTCCAAAGCAATCAAGTTCCAGGCAATAAATTTAATAATATGAGCCAAAGAACTGCTGAGCAAGATCAAGGTTCTGGTGTAACCGAAGCAAAAGCTGCTGAGACAATGAGAGAGGTTATAATGGAAAACACACAGAAAAATAATGCAGAGGAATTGTCCATTGAGGATGGAAATGGAACTTCGCCTGCTGAAGTACTTCCTAATCCTAATAGCAAGTCTGGCCGTTCAGATGTGAGCGCGCAATCTTTTGCATTTAAACCGTAAGCACTGGCTACCACTATTTTTTTTTTAATATTATTTTGTGTACATAAGTGCATAATAGTGCGAGCAATTGGTTAGGATTTATATCGCTGCCAATGTTGCTGAGCCAAGAAACAGTTTCTTATCCAAGCTCTTCATTTAATAGATCAATCAGAACATTCAGAACTTTGACACTACGTCCTAAACATTCAAGTGATAAGAGTTGTTACGGAATGAAATTTTTATCTGGGAACTTAAATTTGATGAGCTCAGTAAAAAAAAAAAAAAAATGCTTCTCGATAATAAGTGAAGTCCTACTCAATCTTGTTTGTACATCAATCTGAAATACCTATTGTCCTGTCGAGTAAACAGTTTAACTGCTTTTGTTGTGTGAAGATTGACAGGAAATGGAAGTAAAGGTATGAATGGTTCGTCCAGGCATGAAGAAGAGAAGCCAAAGCAGCAGAACCCTAAAGAAACAACAAATGGAGCTGAGGCTCTCAATTCATCTCCAAAAGCTTCTAGCAAGAGATGGTTATCTTGCTTTGCATGCTGTGCATTCTGTCGTTAGAGACAGTTTCCAGGCGGTTCGTGATCTGATTATGAACTGTCTTCTTGGATCCTAACAGATTAACCTGGTGCTGTCACTGGCATTTCATATTGACATGCTGGTATCAATCATGCATTGGCACCAAAAACAAAAAGAACATGTAGCTCTAGTTAGTCAGGCTTAACTCATTACTTCTTCTTCCTTTCCTTTGTCTTTTTTCATGTTTTTGCGTTACATCCCATCCTGGTGGACAAGTCAGACAATATCATGACCAACATTGCATAAATGGGTTTAGTTTGTTTGTATGATATTAGCATTTTGGCCTGTGAATAATATTAACGAGGCAATTCAATCTGCAGAAGCTAACTATCCTTGAATTCTATAGGGGCTTTAGCTCCATCGTGTACTAAAACATCTGAAGCCAGATCTTCAGTCGGGTAAGTAATGGTAATGATAAAAAAGTAAACATTAATGAGACTCATCTTAACACGTGCGTCGTGCATTGGGTTTATTTGAGAATGTCTCCTATTTTTATATATTTCTATTCTTTCATTTTATCATTCTATTAATGGAAGAGATTCATACACAAAAAACCATGTACTTGCATTCATCATTGGAAGCAAATTTCTGACGGACACGACAAAATAACACCAACGTACCGTGCTAAACCTAAAATGTGGTTTTGATTGTCTTGGTCTTAAATTTTTATTTTAAATGATTTTATAGTTCATTAGTTTTAAAAATTGTTATGAATAAAACTTGAGAAATTATATTATGTAAGCGTTTATTTCTATTAAATATAACTTAAAACAGAATGTGACCAATTTTCATATGCACCGCCTAATTTGTTTTATATGTTAGTTAATTATGAAAATCTAATAAAAAAATAGCGGACACGGATTGAAATATATTCCGCACTATTTGACCATTGAAGATGATACGCCATACAAAATAAATTATAAAGCCAGTTTAATTAAACAATGATGCGGCAAACCCGAATAAAATTTTACACACACAAAGAAGCGAGTGCCCGTTTTGATAACCTCCGTAATGAATTTTAGAGGTAAAAATTATAATTTTATAAAAATATATTCAAATACTCTTATTATATGTTGAAATTAATTATGAATCTAAAATATAATTATATTTTTTAAAAAATATTTAAACATCCATTATATAAGTCAAAATCAATTTTGAATCAAAAACCATATTTTTCTTTAAAATATCTAAACACATCTATATATGTCAAAATTAATTATAAAAATATTATTTGTAAAATAATTTATATGATTTTTGGATAAATTTTAGAAAAATATAATTGAAAATATGAATTGAAAACCTAGTAATAGTAGCTTGTGAGATAACTTTGGTTTTGAATTTATAATTAAATTTAGCATGTATGAAAGTGTTTGGATATATTTTGAAAAATATAATTTTTAATTCATAATTAATTTTAACATGTAAAAGATATATTTAAATATATCTTCACGAAGTCATGGCTTTACTTAATTTTCAATTTTGCTTTTGAATTCTAATTAATGTATCTTATAAATCAATTATATACCACATAACATAATTAATTATATTTAAAATCAATTATATTAATTATTTTTTATAATTAATTATACCTAACTGAAATCTAAACACACCCTAAGCAAGCTCATCTTATTTGATTTGTGCTGTACGGGCTAGTTTTTATTCTCTTTATTTTGGATTTTTTGTATTATAAGTTGGGGAGGATTGACATTCCACTGGGAGTGGGAGACTGAATTAAAATATGGGTTATGATTAATAATGGAAATTGTTGAGCAACAATGTATATATGATATGAAACATAATCAATGCCTCAAATTAGCAGATTTGACTTGTTTTGGTGTTAACAAAGATAACTTTGAAAGAAACCTTTAACTGATTGTATTACTTCAAAGAAAAAAAATCATTAAACCATGTAGTAAATTAAATTTTAATCTCGTAGTTTGAATTAATTTTTTGGGCTCGAATCATTCCGTGTAATTTACACATCTATTTCAAGGTTAATCCTCGTACTTGTTGGTAAAAAAAAAAAAAAACAAAGAAAGGTTATTAATCCTTGTACCATCAAATATTCGAGATCTGGTCCCTGTAGTTGCAGGTGCCCATGCGATCTAAACACGGCCTTTTTTTTTAATGACGTGGCAATTAAGTGCAGACGTGGCAAATATGTCAACGAACCCCTTGGCCGCCACGCCCCCAATGCTTGGCGCTACTGTTCATTTTAGAAAATCCACCGAGAACGTCCATGTTGATTTCAAAGTATAATAACATTCTATGATCCAAAATAGTCAAATCAGTAATCACAGCGGGAAAATGAAATGACACTTTAAAATCATTTCCCGCCCTAACTTTCCACCCTTCAAACCAAAACTAAATTGACGAGTATTTTCTTCATTCATCGACCAAATGCCCTTCACAGGCTAACACTTCAAGAAGGACATAGAGTGATAATGTCAAAGTCAGTGACTCCGGATGCGATTTCGATCCTCTTTGCGAATCCCTCCCCGGATTCTTCATTGGAGCTTCCCGAGATCGTCGTCCAAGTCCTGGATCTCAAGCAAAGCGGTAACAGATATATGTGCGTCTTCCGCTTTTGCAATCCCTTTTATATGCTTTCATTATTGTTAGTTGAAATCGTAATAAGAGGTTTCGATTGGGTTTTGTTTTTTCTTTCTCACAAACGATTGATAAATATCACTACCTCGTCTTCATCCGATTTTAATCTAGTTTTACGAATTGCATCTATCTAAACTCTAAAGTATATCTGGGTCTTCCTATCTGCCAGATGTGGTGCTTGTACTGGTTATAGACATAGTGCTTCATATCTTATCTTAAAAGTTGGATCTGTTTTGTGTTTCTATCTGGGTTTTTGGTCTGCGCCTAAGATGATCATGTCCTTATCGCTGAGCTTAAATTGTGTCCAATTTACTGCCCGCCATCCGCTATTTACAATTTTTCCTATAAATGGTCTTCTAACTTTGTAGTTTTACTATTGTATTACAGGTTTACTGCAAGCGATGGGAAATTGAAGTTAAGAGCAATTCTACCCTCAAGTCAGAACTCGCAGGTCCTCTCAGGAAATATTCAGAACCTGGGTCTTATTCGCATCACTGACTACACTCTCAACGACATCCCAAACAAGTCAGAGAAGTAAGCGTGAGTCAATGTATCAAGCAAACAAGAAAGATATCAGCCAAGCTTGTAGGTGACCTATTTATTTGTTTTTTGGCCAGATATCTTATTGTGACAAAATGTGAACCGGTCTCCCCTGCACTTGAAACGGAAATAAAGCATGAGGTAGAGAGGGAGGAAACCGGCATTATTTTGAAACGACAGCAAGAGGACAAAATGAAAAGTCAGATTAAAACTGAAGGAGCAGGCCTTCTTTTGAAACCAAAGCAAGACATCGTGGTCAAATCTGCTGCTCAGATCGTACATGAACAACATGGAAAGTAAGTATTCTTTTTTCATTGAATGCATACTCTGGGTTTTTCGTGTTAAAAGAGTCCCTGGTTACTGGGAATTAAAGTCATAATTCTTGTGGTCTTTCAGTATGGTTCCTGCAGCTCGAATGGCCATGACTCGTAGGGTGCGTCCTCTGGTTTCCTTAAACCCTTATCTGGATAACTGGACAATAAAAGTTCGGGTTACAAACAAAGGAATCATGCGCACGTATAAGAATGCAAGAGGGGAAGGTTGTGTCTTCAACGTGGAACTGACAGATGAAGATGTAAGGATCGTTTCTGTTGTTTAAAATCTTGAATAATTTCATATATTTGAATGCTATCCGTATGGTTATGCTGTTATTGTATGAAATTAATTGTTAACTCTGGAATTTAATTATTAATTCTTCAGGGCACTCAAATTCGAGCTACAATGTTTAATGTGGCTGCAAGGAAGTTCTATGAAAAGTTTGTATTGGGGAAGGTTTACTATATTTCAAAGGGTACTTTAAAAGTTGCAAACAAGCAGTTCAAAACCGTTCAAAATGATTACGAAATGACACTAAACGAGAACTCTGAAGTGGAAGAGGCAACCAATGAAGAAAGCTTCGTTCCAGAAACTAGGTTCAAGTTTGTCCCGATTGATCAGCTGGGTCAGTATGTCAACCGAAATGAACTTGTTGGTAAGTATTTTTTCCAGGGATACCGCAGCCACAACTTGCGCCGTAGCTTCTTCTTCTTCTGAATAATATATGGCGTTTATGAATTTCAGATGTCATTGGAGTTGTTCAAAATGTGTCCCCTACAATGAGCATACGCCGGAAGAGCAACAATGAAACTGTCCCGAAGCGTGATATTACTATTGCTGATGAGACGTGAGTACAGATCATTCCTCACTTGTTAGCACTTGTTTTTTGCTGTTGTACTAAAAATATTAAATATCGAAATTTGTTATCACAGAAAGAAAACAGTTATCGTGTCTTTGTGGAATGAGAATGCGATTAATGTAGGGCAAGAATTGTCGGATCTTGCTGGTAATTCTCCTTTAGTGGCAATCAAATCGCTCAAGGTTGGGGACTTTCAAGGTATGCCAAAGCTTAAGCTTTTATATTTTCTGAATTGCAGGAATGCAAGAGAATTAGTTTGTAACATCTTGAATATCTTCTATTACAGGTGTTTCCTTGTCGACTATAGGTAGAAGTCTAGTGCTGGCAAATCCAGACATACCTGAAGCAAAGAAGCTTAGAAGCTGGTATCCTATAGTTCAAGATCAGATTGCTATTATTTTTATTTCTCGTGATAATCTTGATTATGCTTCTTTTGTCAACAGGTACGAATCTGAAGGTAAAGATGCATCATTGGCATCCATGAGCTCTGGAACGAGTTCAGTATCCTCGAACGGAATGAGATCGGTGTTTTCAGACCGTGTCTCACTTTTTCATATTACCTCAAGACCGTCCTTAGGGGAGGACAAGGTACTATTTTCTGCTCCTCGTTGCAAGTGGTGTAGTTTCTAATCTTCCAATCCATCCAAGTGTTTTGGCTTATTTCTTGCCCTTTTCAGAGTTAGAAGTATTGATATTTTCTGTGTAGACTCAAGAAATTTTTGCAGAGGGTTAGAAATGCTTATATTTCGCCACCTGGTTATAATCTGATACTTTTGTTCTTCGAAACTATTATTAAAAATGGCTTTTGCAAAATTCAGTGGGGTACGTGGAAATATTTGAATCATGAGGTTAACTATAATATATTTTGTTGCTTTTGGCAGCCTGCATTTTTCAGTGTCAGGGCACATATAAGCCATATCAAGCCTGACCAGACAATGTGGTACCGGGCTTGCAAAACTTGCAACAAGAAAGTCACCGAAACCATTGGTGCAGGGTATTGGTGTGAAAGATGCCAGAAAAATTATGAAGAGTGCAGTTTAAGGTAGTCAGTTTACAAGTAGGAGCCTTTTTTTTAATTATTATTTTTAATGTTGGGAGTTGGGGAGGGTGATGTTGCTATAATATACTTTCCTGCGAGTGTTCAAATTTCATTTTCTTTCCCTTTTCAGATACATTATGGTTGTAAAAGTTGCTGATAGAAGTGGTGAAGCCTTTATATCAGTCTTCAACGAAGAAGCTGAGAAGATTGTTGGGTGCCCTGCTGAAGAACTAGATAGCCTGAAGTCACAGGTAGGTTATCTCCAACATAAATTATTGGGATCACTATATGATCCACATGATCATCTAATTCTTTTGCTAAATAACTGCACATCCTATTGATGTTAGGAGGGGGAAGATAGTCTATATCAGTTGAAACTGAAACAAGCAACATGGACTCCTTATCTTTTCTGGGTCAGTGTTTCTCAGAATGAGTATAATAACGAGAAAAGGCAGAGGATAACAGCCCGGGCAGTTGTTCCGATGGACTTTGCTGCCGAATCAAGATTTCTCTTGGAAGAGATATCAAAGATGAAATTTTCTCAATAAGATGCACATGCTAATTATAGTCCCTGCGCCCTTTTTCGTTTGTAGCCGTTGATTCTTGTTTTTGCTTGTAATATATGCTTTGCCGGTCTTGACGCCTAGAATTTGCTAGCTGATCTTCTATGTAAATCTGCATATATTGAGTCCTATATAATGGTCAGTTTTAAACTTTTTTATTACAACATAGGATGCTGGATCTTCTCAAGGATGCCGCAGAATTGCGAAACGGGAGGATTTGACCTGGCATGATAAAGATGGCGATAGGAATTTTAACCGACCATTTGGTTTTGCGTCGTATTTAATTTTATGGAAGATAATATCCTAGCGCCAATGTCACTCATGCATTAGATTATCCCCAGTCAGAATGTTATGGTTTCATACAAAATCAAGAACACTGATATAGAAAACTTGAGAAGGAGAGAAATAAGATAGGGAAGTTGCAGCAACCACAGAGAAGAGCAAGAAAGTTCGCAGGAAGGAGAGGAGAAGCCGAAGCATATAGAGAGGAGACACAAATTTTCAGAATTCACGCTAGTCCCTTGGCATCGATTGTTAAACCTTACTCTTCTGTCATAAGCATCTGGCCCATCAGCAGAAGTTACCCCATGGCTCAAGCCCACATTGAGATCAGGCCCTTCATTACAAGGAACCACTGCAAGTTGACTTGAGATTTAAAGTAAAGTTGGATCCTCCCCTCGACTTCAGGCACATTGATTCTTAATCACGAGTTTCACTCGCCAAACAATTGTCAACGAGTTTCCACGCATGAGACGCCATGAAATCTGTTGGGGGAAAAAAAAAAAAAGGGGTTGCCGCCGGGGATTTGTTACTATACGTTGGACTCAAATGGTGGGCCAAGAATTTGTGTTTTTCCAGCGAGTGAGGGACATGTGGGTCGTGGGAGGTGATGTGGCCAGAAGGGGTTGGGCAATCATGTGCAGGAAAGCAGCAAGGGTAAATCGTGTGAAATGTCTCATCAAAGTAGCGCTTGGGCTTTGGATGAGTAGATTTGAATTTAAATTTTATATTTAAAATTTTGTATTTTAAATCTTATAAAAAAAATTATATATACTTAACCTTATATATTTAATATATTTATTTCTAATAAAATTAAGACATGTAAATTTTGTATAGATTATTTATTCTATAATAAATTTTTATTATTAATTTTATTTACACATTAAGATTTATTTATCATGATTTGATTGCTTATAAGTATATTAAGTATATAAAGTTTAGTACATAAGTCTTATCTTTTAAAATTTATGTATTTAAAGTTTTTTATTTAAATATTTTAAAAAAATTTAATTAAAGAGATATGAGTTGAGATTCAAAATAAAAACAGAAAATTAGGATTTATGAATTTATCTCTCTTTTTAAATTAAAGGGAGATGATAATGAGATATGTGAAAAGATATAAAAGTCATAGGGACATTAATAATGAAAATGTGAAAAAGAGATTTGAAGTAATTAAAATTTAAAATTATAAATTAAGTATAATAAAAAAAATAAATTTAAATTTGAATCAAATTTAAATTCATAATTTTTTATGTATTCAAATGAGGGATTTGATTCAAATTTAAATCCAAATCTAAATTTTCATTAATCTAAACACACCATACATTTTATTACCAATAAAAAAAATTCCTTGGATTTCACCAGTTTCATGGGAAGGAAAAACACTCAAGAATTAACTTCTAATATGATTCAATCGAAACTAACTATTTTTCCACAAAAAAAAAAGAAAAAGAAAAGGAAACTATCTCTGAGCCATGACCAGCACTCTAAGGACCGCTCCCTCATTAGTGATGTTAGGAATACCAAGAAATTTATCATGTGCCATTGCATCATCGCTACCGATCATATTTTCAAATAAGCAAATAATTGTGTTAACTAGGTTACTCATCAAGCTAATCATGAGGACTTGATATTAGGATTCTTAATAAGCCATCTTTTGAGCATAGAGAATTTTTGCTCATTGATTTAATTTGGGCCTACTCCCTTTATTTATATGTACAAGAGAAAAAAATTGTATCACATAATTTAAGAAAGTTAATTAATTATAATAATTATGTCTGAAAATAAAAAATTGGATTAAAATGCTCCATATTAATTAATATAAACATGTATTAATTATTTTTTGTTAATGTAAATTATGAGAGATAGTTTAGAAAATGTGTAATAAATGCTTATTGAAACAAGTGATTTTACTTATATAAAAAAAATAAAAAGTAATATTTTTTTATAAATAAAAATGAAAGGAGTATTTTATTTTACACGATTTTATCATGACTATACAATTGCATCTGGAAGAAGTGTGGGAGAGTCCCAACCTAAAACTTGAATTATTGTTAATGGTGTTGTAATATAATAGCATGCAAGCTCTGTTATAAATGGAAAGTCGTATGTTTTATCCTAATTGTAATCTTAGGCTGTTAATCCCTGCTCCTTATAATTTAAAAAAAAAACTTAAATTACTAATAATCTGTATTTCTTTATTATTTTTTATGTAATATCTGGTCAAACTTATACTATGCATCACTTTGAGGGCGAGTTTCATCACTCCATTGACACAACGCTTATCACTTTGAAGGTGAGTTTCATTAGTCCATCAATTTTCCTTAGCTGGGGATTGGCTATTGCCTTTAACGAAGGAAAGTTTCCATGATTTGATCCCAGAATGGTCCCCCGGGGGGTGGGTGAAGATCTTCTCCATGAAACTGAAACTTGCACAGAATGAGGGTTTAAAGAAAGTACAAGTAGAGTTGGGAGGACAAGAACTGATCGGTGTTTGCTTGGTCAAGAATTGGGAAGTTAGAATCTCACATGTCTTCCCTGAAATCAGATCCAGGCCATGAAATCCAGGATTGCATTTCTTTCCTCGTTCAACTTTTCTGTTGAATGTAACATAATCCTTTCTATCTTTGAGGATTTTAGTTCTCAGTTTTATCTTCCTTGGGCATTGATCCCTGTCTGCATTTTTTTTTTGGGGGGGGGGGGGGGAGGGGGCTATCAGCTGCATTAGTTAATAGTTACTATGTATTTAGCTAATAATTTCAGAAGCAGATAGCGGCCTGGAAGACCTGTCCTCAGTATTTCTGGCTTCCATATTTCATAAATAACGGAGGCAGAATAACAGCATGGCTTCTTTCAAATATATCTGTTCCGATCCATCCATGAACAAGAGCTCTTAAATCCTAATTAATAAAAGGAGGAAAATCCTTGATATTATTACTTATAAAGAAATAAATTTGTGACTGTCTCGCTGAAATTGATGCACGTGTCTTCTGCTCCCAACTTATACCTTCATATATGGGGAGACCAACGAAGCAATTTCATGCAGCAACTTCGATGCATTTTTGTCATCACTACCATCTGAAGAGGTCCATTCCTGAAAATTGTGAAGGCTACCTGTGAAGTCTGTGAAAAGACCATCGATTCCTATCGTGTTGATCCAGTAATCATACTCCGCATATGGGTCTTGATGGAAGTTGAAATGCAAAAACTGGTTCTCATTTCGGTAAGTATATGGATGCACCTGCAGTGTTGAAAATAGCAGTGCACATTATCATTTACCTCCAAGATCATTCATATGAAATAACAGTTACAAAATTGAAGGCTGACAATAGCAACGGTTTCGAAGAAATATGCAAGGCCCTCAAAACATAGCCACAAAACTTTACGAAGAAATGACTAAATCAGGAAAGTCAAAGTCAAATCCCAGTATTATATTTGCAATGATTTTTACCCCAAGTGCATTGAGATTCAGAACTCATTAGATCGAGTTAATTAACTACAAAGCCACAAAAAGAAAATCTAATAGCTGATAAACCTGCTAAGTGCCTACGAGGCAAGATACCACTGGATTTGGATTTGATAGTCATCATAGCGATCATTACAGTATGCTCATCACTAAGTTGAGATCTGAATAATAAGTATATTTTAAAAATGTTAGTAAGACGATTATTTTCATTTTAGACTCTGCATCTATTGAAATAAAAAAAAACCAAAAATATAAGGGAAAAAAAAAACAAGATGAAGCATGGACTGTCTAACATCCAATCCATGCTGAATATCGGTGTACTGCGGTGCCTTTGGGATCCGGTTCATCCAAAGAAAATATTAATAACCCAAACTTCTACCAAATGAAATAAAACGTCCAGGAAGGGGGGCAGAGATTCAGATGTGTATTAATACCTCCATTGAGCACCAACTATTCAAGCTACAAGAAGAATACCTGCAGGTTATGGGCATGTGCCCTGGCAACAAGATCAGCAGCCGTTTGCAAATAATTCCCTGCAGCAGGAACCACTGTATCCTTCCAAGGTCCAATTCCCACAACATATTGCTTTATATAGTCGAAGTATTCATCAGACGTGATCTCCCAATACGACTGCATATCATCAATATGGCACTATTTTATTTGGCTTTAAATAAATAAAAGATCTTCTAATAACAATATTCCCCAGCTGAAAATGGAGATATAAAAGTAAACACTACTGGGATAAAATCAAGGGAGCAAGAATGAATGTATAATGATGCAACAGGTGTAGAAAATTTTGCTCGAGTTTAATACTACATAAGAAAGGAACTACGTCAAGGAAATAACGTACCTGATTAGTGTCCTGCGTCGGTATAGTGAAATCATCGATTAATAAAATCTTGGGCAAGTCTGTCAGATTTGACACATATAAAAGCGAAGTTGGAGCAAAAGACTGAATGAATGCAGGTTGTTTCAACCAATCTTTTGACAAGTATGAACCCTTGTATCCATATTTCTTAAGGGTCTCCACAAATTTGTCTTCAAATCTTTTATTATCTGGCCATTTCACCTGTCAATTTTATCAACTTAATGAGCAGCCGGTAGAGGTTATCTAAAAGAAATTTTCAAAAGTTGAATGCCAAACTATTAATTGTAAGTTTTTCCACAAAGTTTTTCAATGACAAAAACAAACTAGTATTAATGCAGTTGATTAGACATAAGAGATAGCTTTTCATTGATCATACACAATGGCATCAATGCGAACCACTGATGCCAAGGGGGACAATATATTCTTCGATGAAAGCTAGATTAGCTCTTTGAACACAAATTCATTGGTCGCATACCGCGTTCAAAGAAATACTCACACGTTGATTGATAAATACTGGATTCTTTATCTCTGGATATATTCCGACAACTCTGGGTGCATCCAGTGCAATGGAAATGAACTCTTCAAAAGTAATGATTTGAAATTTTCCTTAAAGATATTCAAAGAAAGAAGATGTAGTTAGCTATTATTATACACGCCAAAATGCTCAAAGTTTCCTTATAAGTTAAATAGTTTGTCGTTAATGAATGTGAAACTACATCTTGAAAGTTATCGTAACAATGGTATTAGCAATACCATAAAATGAACCCTGATCGCAGAATAATTTATAATTTTTAAATGAAAAAGTCAACGCCAAAAATTAAGAAAAAATGAACCATAACTGAATGAGAAGCTTTGAGCGGTAAAAAGAAACTAACCGTTATATTGTTGATCCCGGAACTTTAATCTCTGATTCACCCTCAACGATTTCAATTCCTTTAACGTGAAATCAACTGCGCGCATATTTCATCAATATAGTTATTCGAGCAAAATTTAATTATTTCAAAGACAACCAAATTTTTGGATCTTGCACATGAACAAATACACTTAAAAAACATTGGAACTTGGGATATCATTCCTTGATTGAACATTTGAGAAATAAGCAGTACGGCAATCTCTTAATGAGAATATTTGCAGCAAAGCTGCGTGAAGAATGGCTATAATACCAGGAAAGAAGCCAGTGACGTTGACTCCCTGTACTTCATATGTCCTTTTACGGTCTGCAAACTCTTTGTGCTTTGCAACGTCAGTAGTATCATCAAGGGTAACATCATGGAAACATATAAGAACACCGTCTTTGGAAGCCAGGATATCAGTTTCAATGAAGTCGGCTCCTTCTTCAATAGCTCTCTGCAAGGAAACTCATTTTAGCTAGATATATTCATTAAACAAATGATACTCGTTTTGTTCCCTAAGAGATTGGTGCCACAAGAGTCAGTCACTACAAGGTCCAAACTTCATACAATTAGTCAATATGCTGAGACTAGAACTCCATGATTAAAACAAAGCATTAAGCTATATGGTGTACGATCAACAGTCACAGGCATAAAAAGATAACCACAAGTGATGGGACAATAAATCGGGGCAACTCAGGTAATCCTGAGAGCATGATTTTGGTTTCAAATCAGATGGGTAAACAATAAAATGAGGGATTTCGTCAATTCACCATATATGCAGGAGAAGTTTCTTCTGGAAGCTCTCCATTTGAACCTCGATGTGCAATGTTGTATGGGCGAAAAGTTTGCAGAGGCCGCCTATTTTTCTCAGTAACTTTACTGGGAAGCGGATAGAGAGGCCTTGCCGTGCACCCAACAACTAGAAGCAGATAAATAAAGAGTGCAAAACCTGAGCATAAAATTTCAACACCAAATTGAGATATTTATCAGATGAAATCTTAATCAAAAAAATATTTTTGAAGAAACATGAGAATATATATTTGATTTCCTTGCTCCCTGGCAGAGAGGCTGACATTCATATAAATGAGTCACGGAAACAAAGAAAGAAGGAAAAAAGGGAAGAGTCTTCTAGTTTATGCACTTGATTGAAAGAAGCTTGCCGCATCTGAATCTGATTCAGATTTCTAGTTTGATTTTTTTATAGGCCTGAATATTGTTTTTTCATATTTTAAAGACATTTTATACACTTGATTGATTATTGGAATAGTTTATATTATTTTGTTGTAGTTTTGTCGAAGTTTATGATTGAAGTAGATTTATATTTATCACTTTATCTATGGTTTGTTGTCTATAATCTATGTATTATGCATTTTATCTATAGTAGCGCCTTGCTTCACTCAGGCGTGCTCCTTTGTAGCGCCTTGCGCCTAAGGTGTTTTACCAACTTTGCGCCTTAAGTGCGCCTTTCGCCTTTAACAACACTGGGGAAGACAATTGTATTGATATTCCAGAAAATTAATGGGTAAACTCCCAAAAAAAACCATGATCAAATTAGAACAGCAGAATTTAGAAGCCGGAAATTTTCAGCACACCCGGCATGTACCACAAAAAAGGAATTTTCTTCTAACAACACATAGAGCAGCATAGATTCCACAGAAAATTCAACTTCTTTAAACATGAAGATCAAAGACGGAGTAAATTTCAACACAACCAGTTCAAGTCAAGGCCATGCATAAGTCATCGTGAATATTAATAATATAGAATCTAGACGAGTTGGGCTGAAAAGCTTAAAGTATGACAAGGTTTGAGATTCAAAGTTCTTAGATACAAAATCCCGGAAGGATTATCAATGCCAGTCCCAGCCGCAATAAAATTGGTCCTACTCTCTCCTCCCCCCATGAACGCAGCAGACATTAAGCATCAAACGAAAACACTGGCGAGAGTCTAAATCAGCAAGCCAAACAGTAGAGACATTGTTTTTTAAATCAAGAAAAAAGAAAAGTGAGTATTAAAAAACACAGAAGGAAAATTTTATTTGTTAAAAAGCTACAGTTTCAATTAATCGTTGGCTTTGAAAGGGTGCGACTTCGGCAGACGGAACCATCTAACATTGAGTCACCAACCGGTCATTTCCCAAAACATTAGTTTCTAATGATCGCATCACCGATAGAAAGGAAATTCCATTAAGAAATAAAGAGTAGTCCCAGACCATATATCCGAGAGAAACAAACACAGCAGAGAGAAATTCTCACATCATTTGACTTCTTGAGTTAACAAGCAGTCAAAAATCCCACAATTTCAGTTAGTTTCCAAGGATCTCTAAAAACTTGAAAGAAAAGGTGCATAGCGGGGAGAAACAAAGAGAGTAGAGAGAAATGAAAAAACTTTCAAGTAAACAGAAATCATGCCAGAAACATCCAAAGACAAGTGACTAGGCAATCGGTGACACCAATGGAAAAAAGAAAGCTCAACACTTGGCAGAATCCGATTCCCCATAATCTAAACTATAACTCCTCAAATTCGAACGGGACTTACTGGCTGAAGACGCCATGGGAGCTGCCCTCGCACTCAGCCCTTCCACTCCCTCAGGCTTTCGAAGGATCAAAACGTGGCGTGTGAGATCTCTGACTAGAGCAACACACTTTCGATTTAGATATGATATGATGTAAAGTTGTGAACACTTGAAAATAATAATAATAATTAATAGGACCGTCTAGTCGTGATGGTTCATGGAACCACCGTCATCTGGAAGAATATCCGCAACTAAAAAAAGATGAAAGAATTCAGCGTGACATGAGGTCATGAGGTCATGAGGAGGCAGATGATAATCTGAAAATACCTATGAGATTCAAAGAGGAGGCGCGCAATGTGAGGATTGGTCTGTTTGGGGAAGGAATCGAGGAGGTTGGTTGGCATTAACCTCACTCGTTACTATACGCAGAGTAGACCAGAGGGCAAGACTTTGAAGATTGAAGAATATTCTCCGGAATCTTTCGAGAGCGAGGCAGAATTCAATAGGATCAAACTGTAAATCTGTAATCACCCGCCAGAAAAATCGTTAACTAATTGTGTTCTAAGGTATCGCCTCTACAAATAGAAAGAATCCGAATGACAATAGATCTTAGGTGGCCTCAGATTTGGGAAAATTCTTGCATAGACTGCCGCACCACAGCATCAACTATTCTCTAGGCAATAAGAATGCAACCAATTTTAATCTTACATGTTTTTCCCCCCTAAAGAAGTGCCCTTGCCCATAATACATTTCGTGTCATATTCATGTCTATCCTCTGAATATTATATTTACAGTAAAATACACTTATATCTCCTCTATATTATTGACATTTAGATACTTCTCTGTTTTTAAACTTATATAATCCTTTCTTAAAATTAAAAGTTACATAGTACAAACATTTTTTAGCTTTAAGATTTTATTTTCATTTAGAGACAATCAAATAACATATTTAAAATTAAAATATCGCTATTTAACACATGGTGTTTGGAACTTAGGAGATATTATCACATTCTACAAAATCAAATTGTCATTTTTTTTTTATTTCAGATGGATTTATCTATCATTTTTCATTATTTGAATTTATAAACTTAAGTATTTTATAATCTTGAAAAAAATATGTTTAACAGTGGTAAAAATTAGACTGAATTTTAAAAACAACAGAGAAGTTTCTGCAACTTTAGTGAACTTGAAGGGAAGCAATCGTATTTTAATATAATATAAATTATTATTAGTTTGGATGATTGTTAAAAAAAATAATTGTTGAAAAAATCTAAACTATTTTATACAATTTGGTTGATTTGAAATCTCATTGTTTATTATTTTTATTTCATAATAAAAATAGATTCTTTTTTAGTTTATATTTTGATTTCTAACAAATCAATATCCCTAAAAATCATTTGCTTTCAGTATCCAATTGAACAATTCATTAATAATCAGTTTAAAATGAAATCCTAGAATATTATTGTCATTCACTGCTGTCGTCCTTACATTGTAGTGTACTACTCTATTAACTAATTTATTGCCAATGATGATTTTTTCCTGGAAGTTATATTATTCATCCTTTTAAAAAATGATATTGCCGTCTCCTTGAAATTATAAATCTGCCAGAACCCCCTTGCTTAGTTAAGTACAGGATTTGTTTGGTTGTTTTTTGATAGAAAAGGCATGCCGTGGCTTGGAAAAGTTAGCTTACAAACACTAAGTTCAGGATTTGTTGAACTTACTCTTTTCATTATATGGTAAAGAGGATTTTTTTTTAAAAAAAAAAAGGGCATCTAAACATACATAAATGAAGTAACAGTTTAATGCAGAAATTAGCAGACGGAAAAGAATGGAATTTCCTGCTAGTACAAAAGAAGCCAATATATTTTCTTCCTAAGCTAACACACACCACAGACCTGAGACGTGCTTCATGGGAATGCACCACCGACTCTTCCAAAGCTTCCATGGCAGACACAAATAGTGCAGATTTGGCTTTCGTCACGCCAGTAAAAATTGGGCAAATGACACTTAATGACCTATCCAGAACTCGTAGTATTAACACTTAAGGACTGTAAAATCATAAGAATATATAACCATTGAGGTGTTATTTATTTTGTTTGCAAAAACTCATTCTTGTATTCCTATCAGAACCATTCCAAGTAGTTGTCTCAGGGTGTGAGCAAGCAGGAATGCTCCAGCTTCACCCTTTTCTTAAGAGGCTTTGCTGACATGGTTTCAGTTTCAGACGGCCTTGCTTGCATTTCCTTCTAGGGAGATCTCAGGAATCTGGAACTAGCCCCTCCTTTGGCCAATCCTCTTGCACCTGTATACAAATGTATTTAGGTTCAAGTAAACAAGATCACATCACAAAATAACATCATAATGCCACTAAAGTTGAGGCCCTGATGGGGATGGATAAACTTGAGGCTTCAATTATTTGGACCTTAACATTCAAACCAAGTGTATCCTCTGTACTTCTAAAAGAGATGATCTGGTATGGGGAAAAAAAACAAGAAGAAGAGCGAGTTCCCTACACACACTACAACAGTAGTACCTAGAAACATTATTAACATCTGTTACGCGTAAAACCAACTTCAAAATACAATGGTATTTTTGTAAATAAATTTGTATAGGCTAATAATTTTCACATCAATTATGTGTGAAACATACTTATTAGAAGTTATACATGTAATTCTCACGTCGGTCCAGACAGAGCAAACTTAAAAATACATTATTTCTAAGAAGGAATTGACATATAAAATATATATAGTAACTATAGATCATTCAATTTGGATATAAAATTTATAGCGAAGCGAAATCTTCTATCCATACAGAACAGAGTCAAGGCTGACAATCACACAGACAGAAATATATCAAAGCACTACTGCCAAGTGTAAGATAATCTCTTCTAGTATAGTAAAGTTTTTACTTGTCCATTTACATATGACAACCTCAGCTATGCTTTTTGAGGCATACTCTTAGCATTCAATTTGCTACACTCTGGAAATTTTAGTTCTTTTTCATGTCATTATAGGTGATACAATGCAGAGAGGTATCTAGTTTTAAATATAAAACTAAATGCTAGCTTTCAGCCAAAATAACGACACGATCATGCAATGGAAAAGATCAATGAAAGATTTTGTTCAAAGACACTAATAAACGTCATCAATACTTGAGACGTGCAGTGACAAGAAAGAATTCAAATAACAGTTTTGTGAAAATAAATCATATAAAGTCGAACCAATTTACATTTCCAAGAGGACATCAAGATGGAAAGTCTGATGCGAGCCTGACATACAAGTGATGCATCGATTCTCTCTTACCTTTATGTAAATAATTTGAGAACAGATTTGAGGGTTAGGTTAATGAAGATTGGTTGTACAAAGAATAACAAAGGATGTCATACAAGGTCAAATGAATCGAATGATAGAGCATAATTCTTAAAGGAATAGCGTTATTTAAATGAACGTGTCATGGCATTGAAAAGAACTTCAGAACAGAAACAATACTTTTACTTCAGATTTACCACATGCATGAAAAATGGGTCAAAGTTTCGAAGGATATATGAGCATAATATCAAAACTCAATCCTGTATACATAAAATGGACAAGTTTAATTTCTTGATAGTATGGCTGTGCCACTTATCATAATTAAGTTTAATTTCTTGATAACTAGTGATTGATAACCATGAAAGCATTGGTTCTAAACAGACTTGTAATTTCCGTCTGGGTTTCAACTCTTTGAATGTCAACTGAATCAAACACTTGAGCACTCTAATGTCATATTCCACATGTTTTCTACATGCCATGTTCATGTCACTGATGATTGACTTCTGCTTGTTTTACGGTAGAGTTCTGAACCAAACACCATAAATGCTGTTTTCATGTTCCCCTTTTAAGTAAAATAAGAAATTCTATCTCAATACATGAGATATAACTCCCCATTTCATTCTCCTAATCAAGCATCACCCTGTCATGAATTGGCCAAATAGCACTTGTGGGGCCCAAGATGAACACGCGGCTTGGGAGGTGGTGCTTCTGTATGATGTTACTAGTAACTAAATGGGAAAGACGCCTGAACAACGTGAAGCCAGGGATATATATGAGGCGAGATTGTTTGTAACAGTGTGTGGAATTTGTGTTTGTGCTTCTCCTTTCTGTTGCTTCTTCCTCCCTGAGCCTCCCTTTTCTCTCTGTATCTTCTCTTCTTTCTGCATTTCCTTTTCCGAGACTTCGTTGTTTTCCATTGTGCACGACTCGTGACTGTCATTTTTGAGTTGAATAATACATTGAGTTTGGCTTATATCATTATTTTTTCTGTTGCCTTTTTCTGAGTACGTGACACACTCACAGATATCACGAGGATAAATTTCGAGCCGAACAGAAGGGCATAAACATTCACAAATCTTTCAAAACACAATTCATACTGAGATATTTCTTATTACCAAAAGTGATTTTAGTGAATCATAAACAAACTTACCCTTATGCCAAAAGTGAGTTTAGTTAAAAAAAAAAAAAACCAAACAAACAAACTTACTCCTGTGCTTCATATCCTGCAAAAGCTTCATGTCTTCCTTGATTTGAGCAAGAGCACGAATGAATGCAGGGTTCTTGGAAACAGAAGCAGCAGCTCCGGCAATCACTTCAGAAGGCGGCGGCTGAGACGCCGTCGGAGATGTCTCTTTCTTTATCTTTGCCGCTTCCACCTTATTGTGCTTCTGCAGCACTAATCTCCCCACGTTCACCAACTTGTTTACATTTTTCAATCTCTTCACATCTTTTGATCTTATCATCGTCTGCAAGTCCTGAAACTCTATCTTCTCAGACTTCAACGGCAGCGAGCTAGGCTTATAAAGAGAGGAAACAGAGGAACCCCCACTAGCTCCGTTTCCCACTAGACTCTCGCTTATGTCTACTCCGATTGACGACGACGACGACGACGACGAAGTAGTCAGAAACATTTCTGTGTGGGGCTTATCCAGATAAAGCTTGAGAGTAAGGTCTATCTCCTCGGTATTGGTGACCATTTTGGTAGAATTGAGACTATCGGCGTCCTTCCTCATGGCAAAATCTCTGCAAACGCCATGTTGAAAAGAAATAGTGTTTTGCATGAAAAGAACTATTTCTTAACAGCGGCTTTCGTGATTTATCTTCATCGTTGAAATTGAGACAAAGGTGGAACTTTTGGAGCCAAATGCCCTTGGATGTTAAGCACAATACTCATATGCCCCAAAGGGCCAAAAAAAATAAAAAACAAAAGCAAAAAGAAAGAAAGAAAGAAAGCTAGAATGAAAATTTACGGGGGAAGACAAGCTTACAACGTTCGGGCTACGGATCACGTGCACTAGGGAATCGTGCAGTGAGTGAAAATTGGAAAATTCTCACCGTAAACTCTCATGATTAATAAAAAATAGGTGTATGAAAAGATTTTTCATTTGCAAATATACAATTATAAAATAAAAATTGATAAAAAATATGACACTTTTAATAAATTTTTTAATCATTAATTTAAATAATAAATATTTTATTTAAATAATCTAATTTAATATTAATTTTTTATTTTTTATAAATTAATTATTCAAATATACTTTGAATAATTTATAATTAATATTAAATTTTTTTATAATTTTTATAAATTTTTATTTTAATAAATATAATATTAAAAATAAAGAGAATATTTCTAACACTTTTTAAAAAAATAATTACATGTTAAAATTTTAAATATGAATTAAAATTAAATTTGAACCGTTCAGAGTATATTTTAATAATTAATTTATAAATAGAAAATGAATACCAAAGTAAACCATTTAAATGAAATTTATATTGTTTAAATTAGTGATTAACATATTTATTAAAAATATTATATTTTTTTTAATTTTTAGTTTGAATAAAATGTATTTGTGTGTTTGAAAATGAAAAGTTTTTAATACGCCGATTTTTTATGAGTCATCGGATGAAAGTTTTACGGTGAGGATTTTTCACTTTTCACTCACTGTATGATTCCTTACTGCACACGATCCGTATCCCAACGTTCAGTGGGTGGGATAGGCGCTGGCAGCAAACGTTGAAAAATAATTAGAAAGTCAAAGAAACTCACTTCGGCTTCGGACTGAACTTCAGTGCTCATTCAAGTCTTAATTTGAATAATTTAAATTTAAGATATTATTATATATTTTTATTTTGTATTTATTAAAATAAAAATATACAAAAAATTATAAAAAAATTAATTAGTAATTTAATTTAAATGGTTTTTTCCTGCACAAATTTATTTTAGATGGTTGAAATTAAATTCTCAATATATAACAATTATAAATTCATAGCGAGGAGAGTAAGGAATATGGGTCCCATCATCTGCAGTTAAATTTAGCGCTGTACAAAAGTTCTCCAATCCTTTTTAACCCAGTGCAACCGAAGATAGTTCAATCCTATTTGGTCTGTTTAAACACTAATCTTTCAGGATCAAAAACACTGAAAAGACTATACTATTTTTTTGGATTGAACTGTACAAGAGGTTGAACATCTGGACCACTTGATTCGGTCCAGTCCTATTAATTTATTTATTATAATTATAATTAATTTATTTTTGACAAATGCTTTAAGTGTAATTGATGCTCAGGAGATTATTGTATGAAGATTTGTTGAGTTTTTTTTTAAATTGTTGTTGTAATGTAGTGTTGTCAAAGTTTGTTAAGTGTTTTTTTTATTAAAGTTATAAATTTAAATCATTTGGACTATAATAAAGATATTTTTTTTGCTATTGGAAATTATTATAGATTTATTATTACTATTATTATTATTATAAGTGTTTTTACTATTTTAATTGAGTTTATTAAGTTGAAATGAATTATTGTCTCTTATATAAAAAAAACTAATTGAGTATTGAACTAACAGGATCAGTCTTTTAATTTTATAAATTAAATTTAACCTCGTTAATTTTTAAATTATCACTGAATAAGAACGAATTATGAGTCGTTAATTTAGCTTCTTTTATAAAAAAAAATCGAATTTTAAATTAGGTTGAAATACAATTCTTTCACGTCTTTTGTGCAATCCTAATTAAACTTCTACCAGCGCGCTATCTCTGCCGGGCAAAGTGCGGTTAACTAAACTGTTAGGGGTATTAAAGTCAAAATGAGGAAGATTGCTTTTGGACTTTGGATCCTCGTCTGCTTCGTTGTTCATTGTCCGGTCAAATCCATCGAACTTCGATTTGATAAACCATTCACAGCGCCACACTAAAGCCTTTGTATTGGTCTTATACGGCTTTCCAATTCATTGAATGGAATGATGTTGAGGCTAAATGAAAGCTATCCGCAACGTAAAAAGTTCGAGCTTTTATCTGATTATTTTTTAAAAGCCGACTTTGCACAAATGATGAACATTGAAAAGATGACGTATAATTCACAATGTTTCATTTGCCATGACTCAGTGGAGGGCATTAATTATGCCCTCAAACAATATCCTTTCGGAGCAAATATATGGAAAAACAATTCTACCTCTTAATATGTTCGCTGATTTCCATAAGATATCGCATGGCTATTTGATATGCTTCCATCACCCCCAAGTTAAAATTTCTTGAAAAATTAGTGTTAGCATTTTAAGTTAAAAATTATGAGAAGTTCGTAACAACTGTATCTTCATCGAGAAAATTATTGATAATTTTTTCTTTTTGTGAATCATACTTATAAGTCTTTTTTTAATCTTTAAAGGTCTGATATAATTATTTTTTACTTTCATGAACATGTTGCATGTATAGTTTCATCTAATGAAACTCCTTTCCACTAAAAAAAAAAAAGGCCTTATTGGTAGAGAGAAATGAAATGGGATAATTGAAAAAAAATAAAAATAAAAACAAGATCATTAAAATATGAAAAGAAATAGGTAAATATGTATAAGAAAGAAGGATAATTTAATTTATAAAATTTAAATTAATAATTTATAAGGTTTTTAAAAAGTGTAATAATTCTTACATGGTAATTAACATTAAATTTTATCATATATTAGAAGAGTGTGATTTAATTTATTTTTATTTTTATTTTTATTTTTTTAATTTATTATGTTTTCATCCTTCACATCTAAGTCATCAAAATATCCAATATCCATCATTAAAATTAAATTAGATTTTGTACCTCATGAGCCCGGCATTAAACATCCGTTTAGTTGGCGAGCAACAAGGGAAAGGGAAAAAATTTTAGTGACTTTAATCAAAAAAATAGTGATAAATGAAGTTTTAAAATTTTAATAGAAAGAAACTGAAAAAAAAAAGAAAGAGCAAAAAATTCAATTAAACATTTTTAACATCATTTCTCCATTTTTAAACCAATACATAGAGATGATTTACTACAAAAGTAGGGAAAATAAAGCCTTTAGCCCTTATAATTTTGGTGAATTTGCAATTTAGTCTCACATGATCTAATCGCTATTATTTCAAAATTCTAAATAAACGATCCCATGTTTTAAGTACGTTCAGATAAACAATACATAAATGGTTTCATAACATTAAATAAAAAAAATAATCATTTAGTCCTTATAATTTTAACTAAGTTATAATTTAATCCGTAAATTTTGATTCATTATAATTCAATCCCCAAAGTTTTAATTTAATTGTAAATCAGTCCTTAAACTTTACTTTTTATAATTTATTTCCTAAAATTTTAACCTTTTAAATATTAATCTCTATATTTTAAAAAATAAAATTATAAAGATTAAAAATATTTTAAAATTTATTACTAATATTAAATTATTAAATCCTTTTAATCTTTATAAATATTATAAATATTAAAAGTTTAAAAAAATTTAAATCTTTATAATTTTATTTTTTAAAAATATAAAGATCAATATTTAAGGAGTTAAAATTTTAGAGACTAAACTGCAAGAGATAAAATTTAAAAATTAATCTATAATTGAATCAAAATTTCAAGAATTGAGTTATAATGAATTTGAGAGACTAACTTACAATTAAGTTAAAACTAGAAGGACAAAAGATTATTTTTTTTCATTAAATAAATTAAAACCTAGCAACAGTTAACAAAGAATATTGCATCTTTGAGTGAGAAAAAGCCCTACTTGATATCTATACTGCATTCAAAACAGAGAGACCATTTTTTAAAAATTTTATAACCATAGGGGATGCAAACCGCTGCTTTGTTTTTATGTCAGTGGGGATGTTTCCCACAATGTCTAAGCTGGTTGTATTTTTACTTTCTAGCTCATGCTAGCCTTTTCTGAATCCCAAAACAGAAAAATTATAACCATAGGAACTCAATTAACCGCAAAGCAAACCACACTCCACCGGGGGGAGGGGTTAACAGTGATTATACCGCTTGTAAATGGCAGGCAAATCATACAGAAAACCGCTTTACCCGTGGCCAATGAATAATGACTATCTTTTTTTTTCTTTTCTTTTTTTTTTTATGAGTTAAGGACCTCCTCCAAGAGAGGAGGCGGCTGCTTTTCTTCTCTCTCTCTTTTTTTTTCTTTTTAATGCAAGGCTACGGGAAATAATGATTAGAATTTTAGATATGCATCTGGATGGGCAAAAGAACAAAACCAATCATCCGGCAGGAATAGAAGCAAAAATGTTTTTTTCCCCATATCTGAAAATTTAAAGTAGAAGGAATAAGTGCATACATCCAATCTGGGCGTGTCTTTACATCTACTTGTTCGATGCCCAAAGGAAACTACAAACTCCTTTCTCACCAAACGACTAGAAATGATCCACGATGACTCATTATAAACGACTGAACGCCAAACTACAAACTACTGATGAAGCACTGAGTAGCAGCTCGCTTCAGGTCCTTCATTCTACCTTCAAATAGCCATTAGATCCCCATAATTCCGCATAAGGAGTATTGATCCTCCAAACAATCCAGCAGCACGCAGCAATTTCTGTAAGAGGAAAAAGAATTAACACATTCATTCTAAACTACGTGAAGCTCCTCGAATATATCATCAGGGAGAAAGGCTTTAAATGACACATCCAATATTTAATACCAATATATATTTAATACCAATAGACCCCCTTCAACGTCATCCATGCCCTAAGCCCCTAACTTGAAGTAACATACTGTTTCAATGACTCCCCATGAGGGTGCAAAAGAATAACAAATTACTCGGTGCCAGGAGATGTAAGAAGCATAAAATGCGTGTGGTGCCTTACACTTGAAACAAAAAGGCAAGTGCCATGGGCCAAGAACAAGGCGCCTTCACACCTGAGAACAAGTGGTGATGATTTATTGGACTAGAGCACCACCATACCCTTATGTTACGATCAGTTCCAGATAAGATTAGGGTTCAGTCAACAAGACATTTAGATTCCCGGACTAGCATACAGTACACGTTAAAACCAGGACATTCAAGTCTTTTATCAAATGACATAGATGGGAATCACCATTTTGATTTGCCCAATGCTCTGTCCACACAAGATGTTGACTGCATCTGAGCTCTCCTGCCAAGGCTGCCTAGACTTGTCTCTCTTTTTCTAAATAGGGAAAATTAGACTTGAGAATTCTTATTTGACGTTATATATTATACAAGTCCCTAAATTGCAAAGTTATTTAAAAAGACCAAAAGACATAAAATTTTGGATGTTATGACAATTCCTATGTTTTAAGTTGCTTCTGACGCTGGCAGTCAAGTATATAAACACAATTCTAACATTGGAATCTTGAATATGTCTGTTGTGACAGCCAAAATATTATTTGATCCTCTCAAACATTTTTAAAACTTGAGGTCCTCCAGAGTATATATCAACTTAGGATCCTCAAATGTAATCTTTCCATCTAAGAAAGGATGCAATTAAACCTGGGGAATAGAGGCATACAACCCCCCAAAAGACCCCCAGCATGTCTGCCAAATGCATAATGGAAACCATGCTCTGTACCCAACATGTCTCTCTAACCTACAAATTTCCACAATGAATGAAGCCTCCTAGCTCATAAGGAACAAGAGCCATTATGAAAGGGCTTGGTTTTTCTTCACTGCACATCGACAACAGTTTTTAACCATTTAAAAAATAAATGTCATATTAATTTGTACTTCTAAAAACTATAAAAATATCAAATGGCAATCCCTCTACCAAGTGGAGAGAAACCATTTAAATCATGGAAATTATCAACCATAACTCACTGTTAAGTGTTCAACAACTCTAGTAACTATGATTAAAGATTACGCATTTACTCAAGGATCATCTATACAAGTTCTTATTGCTTTCCTGCCTAACTCTTTGCACTTTAAGTGCTTCATCTCATAATTTTTGGAACTCTACATGTGCTGTTCTTTGGACCAGTCACGTCTTAAGCAAAACGAACCAATATCTGTTTTTCTAGTTTGCTGACCCACTGACTCAAACCACAGGCTTATGTCATTTACTCCAAAGTAGGTTTGAACTTCAAACAGAATAAAAATAAAACAACTACAGAAAATAATCCGATCCTATTAATCAGTAAGTTTTTTATCTCGTCATATCCTCTTCTTTTATTCCAGCAATGCACGAAAGTAAACTCATGGAGCCTATTCCTTAACCTTAGATGAGCAAGTTCTCGTGTTCAAACGATTGTGTTCTAACTTTTTGAATAACCAATTAACCACAAATAATGAGAAAATCTGTTGCAGGTTTCTAACCAAAATTGACCACAATCAAGAACCTTTTCCACAAAAGGTTGTCAGGCTCCATTACCATACAAATGGCAAATTACAGAGTCACTTAAAATATCGCAACAAGCCACTAATAGGTCAAAGTCTCAACACAAAAGGTAAAATGGAACACAAGCATATTAAGTGGTTAATTTATCCCAGGTATTTTTGTGAGACAATGATCACCACCACCTTAATAATGCATAAGGCAAGAGAGAAACGTCCTGAACAAGTATTAAGTCACTGTTAAAGTTTGATGGCTAGATCATTTCAGGGATAATGAAAGTTTTGATCATCAAGTTTGAGTCAATTATCAATTTGATCTCTGAATTTTAATCTTTATCAATCAAATCCCTAAAATTTTATAATCATGCACGGTTAGTAGTCCTTGTGGTTTGAAGACATATAATCCTTGACACATGCAACCTTTAACTCGAGGATGGTTTCTGAAAAAATTGCTGGTCTGATTAGAATAAAAAAGAACATCAAATTGTTCACAAAACTTTAGGGACTTGATTGATAGAGATCAAACTTCAAGGACCAAATTGATAGCCAAGACAAACTCGAAGAACCAAAAGTTCATCATCGCATCATTTCAAGTTGGCATGAACGAAACATATAGGAACAAATGAAACCATTCAAAACAACATCAAAATATGAGTATGCTAGCAAATTAGTCACTGGATTGTCAACCCACTAAGCTTTAGTCCTCAAAGTGTTGGAATAGCACAAGTTAGTTTTAAAAACATGTAACTTGTTGAAATGTACTCCTCCTAAAATATTCAACGACTCAAGCTAAATGGATTTTTAAATTTGGATACTAAATTGTTAGTGTACTCTTCCAATAAACTCAACAATGTAACAAAGAACTCATAATATTCATATGCGAAACTTGTAAGACTCTTACAATGAGAGGAAAGAGAACAATCAACCGATGCGTCACAATCAAAACATTATCAGAGTTTGATTAAAAACTGACACTCCTCCACAGATGCATTCAGTGGCTCGCGAACACAAAATCCAAAGCATACGTCATTAGTTGGTTATGAAGCTACCCTAATGCTTTGGAATGAAAAACGGACAATCCGTTTGTGGCGCATCGATCAAATGCAAAGGTAGCTAGATACTACCGAGAAACATTTCGAGTTTCGTATTAATACAAACCAAATGCTTGATACAGGCAAATTAAATAAACCCGGCCAAGAAGAAGTTTCCGTTCCCGTAGCCAACCGTAGCAGAAATCGAAATTTGAAGCCATTTCATAAATTATCTATCGTTATCATGCCGAAAAGCAGACGACCAGCCATGGCGATAAAAGAGTTATATCATTTCTATTAAATGGATCAGGAGGGGGAAAAGGAATTGAGGAACCGGCTTTAAAACGATTAAATAATGGATAAAGTGGAAAGATTACCATGTTGAAGGCCCACTTCTCTTCATCATAGATTTGGGAATTCAAGACATCTTTCAGGTATTGGATCGAAAACACAGAGTCCGCCATTGGTGGAAGAGGAAATGGCTAACGAGAAAGTGAGAGGATGGCTTGGGTTAGGGTTTTGGGTTTTAGTCTGGGTGTTGAAGTGATTTCAAGCCGCTTCATTTGACGGATAAACACGCAGTATACCAGCGCTCGTCTCTACCTAGGTCAAATATCAATATCATCAATATAAAATTATCAGTATAAAATTCTGACAAAAAAAAAATTATCAGTATAAAATATAAAATTCCAAAAAAATTTATTTAATACATTTTTATGAATTACTTATTATTCTTCTACGCCTTACGCTAAATGTTTTTAAATATTTAATTTTTTTTCTTTGAAAGAAAAAGATATGTATGTAATATAAATTAACGGGTATGGGGGGAAAATACTCATAAAATGATTAGCTAAGAACATCCAATAGCTTAAAGTGATAGAAATGACATAAATACACATAAAATTATATAAATAGATACAAAAGTGATCAAACCGTTAACTTTACCTTAACGTTGTTAATTTTTAATGTTAAATGCTAATTGTATATACCACATGTCTATCTTTATTGACATGAATTAAAAAAGGGCGCAAATACCCATGAAGTTGCGGCTAGGAGCATTCAGTAGCCTTAAGGTGAGAAAAAAAAAAATACCCATAACGTTAAGGTAAAGTTAGCTGACACCTAAGTAGAAGTTGATTATTTTTTTATTAATGTGGACAAAATAATTCCCCAATGGAATTCAATGGAGGTTAATCAATCATTATATGAATACCATGTGGAAAAATATCATTTTGATTGACCATTAAATGACATCACTCGCTTCTTTATAACAGTGGGAAAACCATCTGAAATTTTTAAACCTATCACAAATGAAATTGCTTAAAGTTATAATAATATTTTTAAGGTAAGGCGACATAGGAGGCATGCTTAGTCTCGATTTTCAATTGTGTACCTATCCCACTATGTTGAATCTCAAATTTATAGATAAGAAAAATAAGTAAAAAAAGAGGGAGGAAAAGGGGTAGGATACGTGACAATAGAGAAAAACCACATGGCACGAATTTTAATGAATTAGTCACTATTGCAACTACTAAAATAATATTATGGGTACTCATATGATAATCGATCAACCTATGTAGAAATTCACCTGAGAATATTTTTATCTGCAACATTAAAAAAATAGTTAACTTCTACTTAGGTGTCAGCTAAACAGTCAACATTTAAATGATTTAATGGATTGGTCACTTTTGCACCAATTTGAGTAACATTATGGGTACTTTTACTCTTTTTTCTCACTTTAGGCTATTGAATCTTCTAGCTAATAACTTTGTGGGCATTTTTATCACTTTTTTAGTTCACATCAGCAAAAATTAACACATAGCATGTAAAATCAATATTTAACACTAGAAACTAATGGCGTTAGGGCAAATTTAATGGTTTGATCACTTCTTCACTCACTCATGTAACTTTGTGGGTATTTATGCATTTTTCCTCACCTTAAACTATTGGGTTCCCTTAACTGACCATTTTACAAATATTTTTGCCCCTTTATCTTGAATTAAACATAGTTATTCATATATTAAATCAGTTTAGGTTAGTGTAAGTAGTAGATCTTTTATCTAGTCTACAACTCTTTGTGATAAATTACACCTCTCATAAGATATACCTCACAAAAAATTCACATCATCTATGACTTATAGATAATAAAACTTTATCGTGAATTTTGATTATATACATTGATGATGGTCCAATGGATTGATATTGATAGTATAGTAATAATGATAGGTATAATATATCAATATATTGTACATATTTGTTGTGCCTATCATGGTATATTATAAATTACTAAATTACATGGCTCAATCAAGTTTCACTGGTAAAAAACCTAACCCAAGCTTATAGAAATTGAGATTATGTCTAATAAAGTTTTAATACAACTTTTCACGCAAGAAAAAGAAAAAGTTTTGATACAACTTAATAAATGCATAATCATTCCAACTTTCACTTGTATTATTGATCATTGATATGAGATTTGAAAATATATGTTAAAATATTTTTGACACTTGGTTCAAATAAGAAAGGAGTTGTACACTCTTAACTAGAGGTTTTGGGTTCTTTTTTTTATTTTATTTGAGGGGTAAATATCTATAGCTTGAAGTTATAAATAAAATAGAACCCATGACGCTTTGTAACATCCTGATCTTTAATTAAGAATAAATTGTGAATTTAAGGATACGATATTAGAACTTGAAATTTAAATTTGAGGTGTAGTTTAAGGTTGCCTAAGGATAATGATATGTTTAGACAATTAGCTATGAGTTTTCTTATACCAAAAAATTGTAGAAGGATTATATAGGATCCAAAATAAGTAATTGGGCCCAAAAAGGGTAGTTTTAGGCTCTTGGAAGTTGATCGTGCTTGGGCAAGTGTAACACATGGCTCAACCACGCATAGATAAAGGGTAGAAATGATGGTGTTTCATTTAAACACCCATATGCACGTACAAGCCATGATTGTGTATGGACGGGCACCATTAAGTGTGTTCTTAATTCTATTTTCGAACAAAATATGAGGGGGGGAGGGAAAATCAGAAGAGGGGGGGTGATTGGGCTCGACTAAGGCATGAAAATTTGGTGAGTTAAAGGTGTTTTCAGACCAAGCAACTACTTGGGGTAAGTCGTTGGACCTCTATCTATCTACCTTAATTTCTTTGAGATTGAGGAAGTTTTAGATTTAGGGTTTGCCTATGGGATGCTTAATTTGAAATTATGATGCTTTATCGGGGTTGTTAAAGTTGTTGGAAGTCCAATAAATTTTATAGAACATTTCTTTAAAGTTGAAATCTGAATTTGAATTATTTTAAGTTGAACCCTAGACTTAAATGGTGATATTTTGTTTGAATCTAAGCTTGTGGGGTTAATTCAAATGTTTAGATATTTATTTAAGTATGGATAACTATTTCTAAGGTGGTAGAATAATGATATGATGCTTGAGGATAGTATTTTATTTTTAAGGTATTTTTGGGACAAATTTTAAGGTTATGAGATGATACAATATTGATGTTGGGATAGATTTGAGGTGTGATTAAAGCTTACAAGAGTAAAAGGATGTTAGAATGAATTTTTGAAAGGGTTAAAATGAGTACTAACCTTGATCTGGTACTAAACATGGATAAGGCCTAGACTTCTTAACTTTATAACTAGAGTTAAGTATTGTTGTTAATTATGAAATCAATACTATATATTATTATATGGTTATGTAGATCGTGTCGATCAAGAGATTGGAAGAAGTGGTGTTGTGAAGGGAAATTTGTTATCTAATATATAAGGTAACCATTTTTAATATATGGTGGTGTGTGTTTTGTAATTGATTATATGTGATTTTATTATGTTTGGAAAAATATATTATGTTTGGAAAGCATGTTTTATTGTTTGAAAAATTTATTGCCAAGTGGGATGATACCTATGTATATTATTTTTTATATGTAACATTGTGTTTAAAAGTATGAAAATTGTCCATATTAGTTTCTTGTTTGGATATACTTGTAAGTTGCACGACTTGTCGGGTTTTAAAATGTGTTGTTAGGGGTTTTTGTTCAAAAATTACCTATTACATGGTAAGAGCTCCTTGATCGAATGAGTAGCTACAAGCTTGTACTAACTCACCTTTGGTCGAGTTACTTAGTTTCTGGTATGGTGTATGAAGGAATATAAAGTGTGGTTGTGCATTTTCATCATTTGGCTGTTTAGATAACATGCGTTTAGAAATATTTTGTATGCTCCACTTAACAATCTACATGTATCATTACATATTAATTCTAGTTATCGGGCTCATTTCCTATGGTTAACAATTTTTACACAAATGAGTTCAGTTGGGGAAACACTAGAGGCAAAGATTGGTGTATGAGACATTATCTTTTTGTAATGCCTCTATTTTGTTGATACAATATATATTGTGCCAACATAGGTTGATTATTATCTTGTTGAGCACGTAGAAGTACTTTATGATTAATTACATCTCTATTGCTAAGAGAATTTTATATGTCCTTCTTAGTCCCTAACTAGATTAAAATACAGTACCATGAGGATTCTATTTGTTCCTTATGGTCTATTACTTATTTGATAAAATGATTAATTATATAAAATATCACATGTTACTCGTGTTTGGAGTTATTGCTAGATGCAAATGAGTTAGAGCCATAATTAGTTATTGGTGTATGCCGAGAAATACATTGTTTTGGCTTAGTTAAGCATTTGTAATTGATTTGATTGTTTGGAAAAATAAGTTATTCTATGAATACATTGATTAAAAAAACATTATTTATACACATTTATTAGCTTAAAGAGACTATTTTTCATGCCCAAATTAGTGTTCATGTGCATTCATATCACATTCTTAGTGCAAATTTGCCTAAGTGTTAAAATTACATTCATTATAGCTATTTTGGTCATAAAATGCATTTTTTCATAAATGTGAGGTTAAGCTTGGGAATTATGTCTTTTGATTAGTTAAAATAATTAATCAAATTAGTTTTTATTAATTCACCCTAAATTAGGAGTTATTAAGAAAGGACAAACTTTAATGTTGTCTCTTTAAGGGATTTTTATTTAGCCTTTAATTTTAATTCAAATGTATATTTATCTACACTTATGTCATGTGAGGCATTTGCATTTATATCCCCTTAGTTATTTTAATACCTTAGTTGAATTAAATATTTCTGTTTTAGTTTAATTAAATAAATGTCACATTATGATGAATTAATTATTTGATTAAATTGTGACTTAGATATATTAATATAATAATTGAAGACATAATTCAAGGCAACTAAAGAAGACTTCCAAAGGGGAAATGTGGCATGAGATATGCAAATTTGAGAGGGTGAAAATTAGACTTAAAATGATGCATTGTATTGGATTAAATTTGGCTTTGAAATTGTCACCATGTCCCTCCAATTTTTCTAGTTAGTTTCAACCACATAGGTATATGGTTGAAGACCACTATCACTTAATAAGTTTCCATCACTTTCTTTCATTTTTTTTAACTTTTTAATTTCATTCCTTAGCCTCGCATTTCATATTCTCTTTTAATTTTTCCATCTTCAAACAATTTTTCTCACTTTCTTACTTGTTTTTCCATTCTCTCATCCAATTAACCACTTATATCTCTCCCACCTCTCAACTAAATCACACAAGACCACTTCACTTTTATTCTTCTCCTCTTTTAGATCTTGTCCAAGCACTCTTTTTAATTCAAAGATTGAAGACTCAAATTAACCATAAGAAAGATCAAGGTGTTTGGCCTACTTGGGATGAACATGAAGATGTCAACTATAGTGATGGAAGGCTAGAGCTTATGAAAGATTTTTAGGAGGGAGGTGAAAGAGATGGGGTTCACATAGTCTTCACTTGGCTAAGGACTTTCTAAACCTAGATTCTCTTCATTTTACTTCAAGTTGTAATTCTAGATTTAGGTTGTAATTTGATTGGCTCTTGACTCTAATTTGAAATCATCATCTTTTGTAATGAGAGAAGTCTTACTGATTCTATTCTTTTTCCTTGTTTAAATGCTTGAATTTTGGCCATATCATATTATTTCATAATCTTGAATTAATGTGATATGATTTATCTTGAATTTGCCTTTATATAATCTTATAGGTTGGTTTATTGACTTATATTAGGGTATTGCATAATTTTGTGATATTCCTTTGTCTATTTCTTGCTTTGGCCTTGGGTTAGATCAAAGGACACACACTAGGACACTTAATTTTGTTAATGACTGTGGCTCTCTTCACGTTAATCTAGGGAATTGAGTTTAGGTTAACTAGCTAATCCAACTAGATTTAATTGAATTTAGGAGAGGCTTAATCTAGCGAGGAATGGGTTTTTAGTTAAATACTTTAATGGGCAATGGAATTTCTAATATTGAATTCCTAGGGATATCCATAATTGACATAAGGTAATTTACTTCATTCACACATTCTTTTAGCTTGGCTTCCATTGATGTTTTTGATAGCTTAGTCTAGTTCAAACTTCCAGCATTTTGGACAATTTGTTCACTTAATAACATCATAAATTAGAATACTCACTAGGGAGATGACTTAGGGTTTACCCGTTGCTATATTATGGTTAAAACTAGTATTATTTTAAAGGGTTTGCCATAGCTCATTCACATACTTGTGAGTTTATTTGGAGATTTTGACAATTTAATGGTTATATGGATATAATCATATATGTTGTAGTTGAAATAACACTACCATAAGATATCATGCTCCTTGAATATTTATGCTTTTAGGATAAGTTAACAAACTTTGAATATTTCCTTTTAAATGGGATCTCGATAAGTTTTTTGTATAAAATGATACTTTTATTAGGTACAATATAAAATGACTGTTTTTCTTAATTTACATAGTAGACTATATTTATTATGTTTAATTCTATCCACCATGGTAGATTCTTTTCTACTATGATAGATTATTTGTGAAATATTTTTATTATAAGGAAAACTCTTTTTTACTATAGTAAGTTTTAAAAAGGAGTGTCATTCTTTATTGCCATTGTAGATCTTTTTCTACCATGATAAAAGTTCAATGATATTAAAATGGTTTATTAGACTATTGATTTATGAAAAATTGATTTCATAATTTAGAGTGTCATATCAAGAGCATATCACGAGCCTATATAACCATTGACAAAGATCTGAAGTTTGAGTCCTATAAATGTAGTGATGTGGGTTTCTCTAAACAAAAAAGTAAGAATAATGATTTAAACATATATTGATTACTTTAAAAAATAAAGCCTTAATATAGAAATTTGCACCTAGAATTTTTTTGGGAAGTGTAATTGGTATTTTGAAGTATTTAAATGTATAATATTAGCTTAATGTTTTTTAAAATGATATAATTTTTTCGTAAGCCAACAGTTTAATCATGTTGATTGTTTATTTTGATATTTCAAATGTTAAATGCCTTGCGAGTAAGCTACATAGGAGTCAATGTCTAAAAGTAAAATCCTTTTTTTAAAAAAAAAAATCATGGTCACATATTCAACTCATTTTCTCCTTACTTCCTTCCCTCATTGTCTTTCTCAACTATCATCATTCTCTTACACTTGCTGACATCCACAAGGAAACTAATATTATGCTATATTTGTATACATATAAATTTAGGTTTAGATTTAAGTCAGATCTATTGTTTAAGTAATTAAAAATATATGGAGTTGAATTTGACTCAAATTCAAATTCAAGTTCTATATCAATTTCTTTATAATTTAAAATTTTTTTTAAACCTTATTATTTTAAATCTTAACTCAATCTCTTTTGCAATTTGACCTAAATTTCCAAAAACTTTATCTTCCCACCAACAATAATTGGACCAGACCGTTAAAGTTGATGAAAACAAGTCGTCACCATTAACTGGGACTAGATCGATGGCAATGATAGGGACTGGACGGCAAACTTCTATTGGGAGTGAACCGACAGTGATTGCAACTGTGATGACAGGGACTGGACGACTACCTTCCACTAGGACAAGACATCTTATCCTATATGTTGTTGTTTATTCGATTAAAGTTGAGAAATGAGCGAGCTTGGCTTATAAGGGCTTGAGTCTTTAAGCTTGAATTCTTATTTTTTACCTCTTTTTTTAAGTTGAGCCCTTATTCAAAGGACTCAGGGCCAAACCCGCAAGCCCTGTTCTGAAAAAAATTAACATAAAATTAAGCACTAAAAATTAATTAAAATATTTTGAAATTAAAAAAATTAAAATTCTTATAATTGTTTAGAAATTAAACAACGTACATTTAGAATTCTAGTAATAAAATTTAAATCTTGGTTAAAAATAGTTTACTTTTTATAAATACACAAACATAATAACTATAAAAAAATAAAAAATATCAAAAATTTTATATTGTACACTAATATTTATTAAATTATATTAAATTAATTTTAGAATAAATTAAAATTAATAATAATATAATGTGTGTAGAATTAGGGCTTCAAATAAGCAGGTTCTTAACTTCAAATATGTGTTCCACAAAAAAAAAATATAACAGGACTTGAAGGACCGTTTGGACCTAAGTTTTTTTTTTAAAGGGCTTATTAGGGTCAAGGTCTTGGCCTCCAAGTCTGACTCCAGGTCCAATCTCTATGAAAGTCGGCTATCCGATCTCGTGGTCACCGTCGGTCTAATCTTGGTGGAAGTTAGCCATCCAATTTCAGTCGTCACCATCAGTCCAATCCTAGTGGTAGTTGATCGTCCCTTCCCGGTCCTTGTTGGTGTTGCAATCCCTATCGGCTTTGACTATCTGATCCTTGTAGAAATTGACTATTCGGACCGTTGACTTTGATCAGTTGTTCAAGTGTCTTTTAAATTTAAATATAGAATTTAAAATTTAAAATTTTATTTTAAATTTAAATAAAAAATTTAGATTCCATAAATTTTAAATATGAGATTTTAAATTTAAATTTTCAACTTAAATCCACCCATTCAAATGTAACCTTAGATAATTTTCTCACGAAAACCTTAGTTAATATTTAAAAAATCAGATTCAAACAAAACACAAAAAACCTTTGCATTCTTGAAGTTAACGGCGTCCTGAACCTATGAGCATTCAGAAATTCACTTGAATCTAAAAATTAAACAGCAAAATAAAAATATTAAACCATACAGGTCTTCGATCACTCGCACTCTTGTAGTCATAACAAAAACTAAATGACCATGCTAATTTGGTGAATCATGGGAGTGCTCTGTGCTATTGATGACTTACATTTAAATCTAAACACAAGGTGTCTTAACTTAGATCTAAAGACGACGAAGAAGGAACATAATGGTGAAGAGGAAACGAAGAAACCTTGGTTTTTGGTTTTAGCTCTGATCAACTTAATCAACGACACCTCATACATGTCCAGAGTCACTCGGAACTGTGACAGCCTATTGTGTTGTCTCAGCGACTAGAGGCGATGTGATGGAGATCCAAGTCAACTTCCCACTCATGAACGTACTCAGAATCGGACTGCAATTATACAGCATTGAAGAAGCACATATTAACACCATAAACGCCATAGGAAGCACCAAGTGTGCACCTTTCATGGGCTGACCTTGTAGTTTTTCATTATCGACCCATCCCATCACCATTGAAGAGACCATAACCGTGAACAACATTTGCTCTAGACTAAACATATCCCCTAACAATAGACAGTCTAATTCGTGCTTTCCCATTGTCAATATTCTTCCTGTAAACCGCGCTCTTGCAGAACACTGGGAACATCATGCTGATGTAGCCGATGGAGAGAAGCAAAGAGCAGAGGAAGTCAGAGTGCATGCATGCTGGCGGCGATCATGAGCTTCTCTATGTCAGACTTGCTGATCTTGAGGCTAGTGATTAGACGCGTCAACAACAATGATGTCATGCCGACAAGGAGAGTGGAGATAAAAAGTGTGAAGTATAGTTTGTGATTGTTGAGAAGAAGTCGAAGAGTTTTTGTGGTGAGAGATGAGGAATTTCTAGCTAAGCAATGGATTTCACCTGGAAAAAAAGAGATGGAATCCATACAAGTATAGTTGGTCACTAACGGCCAAATGTTAAGTCTGTTAATGTGGGGGTAAAATTGTGTTGTTTTTAAAAAATGTCAAGCTGATATTGCGTCTTTAAATATGCATACACTCTTCTGAGAATATTTCTCATTGGTATTTTTATAAAAATATGTTATGTGAGTCAAAAACATTTATAATCATGCCCCTATTTAGAAGGAAAAAAACACACCCTTTTTGTATTTATTATATTTATATTTATTTATTTTTATTTTGGTCAGTTATTATATTACATGTCATAATTTTTTTTTTGTATTTTTCAATCATCATTCAATATATAATTGTAAAAAAAAATCATCAATCAATATATTTAATAAAATTAATTTTATAAGACATAAGAAAAATCTATCGTCAATGGTCTATCCCAATCTAAAAACCACGAAATGTTCAGAAAAAGTAATACGAAAGCATCAACCATTTGCTGACACCTGGACATCAAGCCAATGGAAACCAATCTATGATCTTCTTCATCATCATTCATTCATCACCATCATCCAATTTCTGAGACGGAGGGAAAAAGCTTTTGGTTATGGTTATGGTGGCCACTACAGCATCCATCTGTAGCACCAACAGTGGGTTGCCCTTCACCCGTACCTATCCTCTACTTGTGAAATCCATGGCTACTCAGAAACCCCTTCCATCCGTTTCCAGAACTGTAACCTCCAGAAAGGTCCGTCCCTGACTTGGCTAAATTTGGCTTCCATCAAATTGGACTGCATCTGTCCCTTCTTCTTATTCTTCTTCTCGAACTTGCACAAGTATTGTTTAATCTTTAATCTTAAATCATTTGATATTGTCACCATGAAAGATGCAAATTCCTCTGATGATCTAGTCTATTTCTGGAAGAAAGGAGCTGTTTGCTTTGTGATTTCACCAGTGGCGCAGGATGCGAGTTATGTTAGAAAGGAAAAAGTTCATCGCTCTTAGAATCGTCAGGCGTTTGCTTTGCACTAAAGTTCTATAGATATTTAGGGTTAGAGTAAGAATTAAGTGAAGTTTCTTTAAGTGTTTTTGATGTATCAGTGAAAAGGTTTATTCATTTCACAGGCATTTGCTACCATGATATTTAATAATTAAATTATGACGTGTGAAAAAATTGGTTCAAAGATCCAATAATCAAGTACTAGAGTTGTCAAAAAGCATTTCCATGACATGTTTTTATTGAAGAAATTTAGTGATAAATACCTGAAATTTTACACAAGCTTAGCTCTTATAGGGCGTCTGACATATTTCTTTGTTGAAGGGAAATAGGCATCCTGGGCTAAGTTTTGATAAGTTCATCGGTTAGTGTCAGATTGTCATCTTCTATATGGTTGACTGCCAATTTGGTAGAGATTCTAAGATAGACGTTAATGTAGATGCCCAGTTGTAATGGTAATGCAGAACATCATTTCATTTTCAAATGATTTCATCTAACACGTTTACAATGCAGAGTTCAACTGTATTCCCACTGGGAGAAAAAGGCCCTCGGAGTAGCCCCATAACAAGCACACCTCCCATTAAGCTACTTACAAGAATGGAGCAACTGAAGCTATTAAGCAAAGCAGAGAAAGCTGGTTTGCTATCAGCAGCAGAGAAGTTTGGGTTTTCCCTTTCAACCATAGAGAGACTGGGACTCCTCTCAAAAGCTGAAGAACTTGGGGTGTTATCTGCAGCCACAGATCCTGGAACCCCAGGTTCACTGTTGACCCTTAGCCTGGTTTTACTGCTTTTTGGACCCTTGTGTGTTTATCTGGTGCCTGAGGACAACCTTGGAGAGGTGGGCCTGCAAATTGTAGTTGCTCTGCTCTCTGTAGTTGGAGGTTCTGCAGCTTTTGCTGCTTCAAATTTTGTATCCAACTTGCAGAAACTAAGATAAATTTATTATCATGGTTTTAGAATATGGAGTGTTCTGACTTATATATGCATAATTAAATTGTTCTACCTTCTAGGTATGTTGCGTTGGATATATTTAGGTTTTGCTGCACTTTTATTCCTTTTAATTAAGTTTCCTCCAATGAATAATTAATTCTTTACTTGTTAAGCGCAGAGGATTCAGAATTTCAAATCCTAGAGCCTTCTCCTTTCTATCCTGCTGAAAAAGCACAATCAGTTTTAGCTCAAGAGTCAAGTCCAATGACTAATGATATATGTGTGAAGTAAATTTATGGGTAAAAGATAAGAAAGTATGTCAGATCATGGGTGTGTGATGCTGGAAATTAGGTTTAGCAATTTTACCAAGGAGGGTTTATGCATCATTTTATGTGGAAATATGAAAGTCCAAACCGTCACAAAGTGATCATTCCAATCTGTAAGTACAAACTACTGTCAACACCTTCTTAATATGAATGGAATCGAAAAATACCCGGATGCCAAGAAAGGGGTGTGAGAATTCATCAAAAGGTGTGAGAGCATGTAATTGTGTAAACAATGTACTATTTTCAGTTTAAGCAAAGAGTCTATTCATTTTAGTGATAGAAGCAAGTTTGGTAAAAGTGAGAACTAATTAACCAATTTACGGAGTTTGATGTTGTTTGAAGAATTATTTGATTCCATTGAAAAAAGGACTTCAAACACACTAGACAAATGGATACAAAGTGGATAATATAATATGTACTCTCATTTGATTCCATTCCATTGAAAGAAGTGACGTACGGAGTGCAGATGCATTGTAGAGGGATTGAGTTGGAATAGCAGTGTCCAATGGCTGAGGTTCATCGTTGACAGAAGTATTTGACTTCGGCTTCTCCTTGATTAGCTCATTTACAATAGTCAATAGTTTATGTTTCTGGATGCAGTTGAATTGAAATCAGCTAACCAAAAGAACAATAAGAGACCAACATGCACACACAAAAGCTGACCCAAAGAATGCATTTCAAAACCCACAGATTACCTACCGTTTTAATCAGAGAAACGCAGTAGTTCGTTTATGATCTTCCATGAGTCATGTCTATTTCTGACTTGAAGCTTGTGAGAGGCTCGCTGAGAATGGGGGAAAGTTGTTGTTCAATTGAATGCAGCTGACCTTTATATATCCTCGTTTCCAACCATCCCTTTTGATGTTAGGTTGAGATAGCGCCCCCCCCCCCCCCAAAAAAAAAAAAAACCAAAACAAAACAAAACAAAGAAAGAAAGAAAATGGCAAATCAATCGCATGCTTTCCATAGTTTTAATTTAGATAAAATTCACATCTTAAATTTTGGCTTGATGTAATTCAATCTTATAATTTTAACTTGATAAAAATTTAATTCCTAAACTTTGACCTAATGGAATTTAGTCTTCATTTTAACAATTTAAAATATTGGTCCCTAATGTTCAAAATAATAATTTTAGTCCTCATAATTTTATTTTCAAAATGCAAAAACTAACATTTTAAATGCTTAAAATTATCAGGGCTAAATTACATCGAATTAAAGTTATAAGAATTAAGTTTTAAACATGTTAAAATGTCAAAATTATAAGAATTAGGTTGCATCGAATCAAAGTTTATAACCAAATTTAAATTGAATTAAAATTGTAAGGTCAAATGATTATTCTTTTCTAAAATAGTAGCGTCACCTTAGCCAAGAGGGTAAAAAAAAAAAAAAAGAAGCTCATTAAAGAACATGTCAAATTGTATACTAAACAGGAGATGACCATAAATATAATAAGTGTTACAAGTTATTTTTTCTAATTTTATTTATAAAATAAAAAATTTTTTTTGAGTCCTATTTATAAATCATATTATTAAATTTTTATTACAAATTTCATTTTTTATCACTAATTAAATATTGGAGAGAATGTATATTGTTAAAATATACAGATATATTTAATAGGGGTAAAGTTAAAAATTTATTAAATTTTTAAATAGAATTAATAAATTTTAAATTTTTTTTAATTTTTATAAAATATATTAAAAGTGGCTTATAAATGAGATTAGATGAATAAAAGTTTACTTAGTCATATCAATCCCACCTTGTTTCCCATACAAAAAATTATTTTACTTTCCAGCCACTGCTTATTGGTAAGTGGTAACATACTTCTTGTTACAAGTATAAGATAAGATATTCTCATATTTAATGTCGTTGCACAGGACTTTTAGTAGGTTTGATTTTCTCTATTCGATAAAATGTTCAAATAAAATCTTTGGTTAAAACATATTCTCAACGTGGACACGACCCGTTTTTATCTGAACAGTTCTTATTATTACCGATGCTTCTTATTTATTGATATTCATCTTTTCCTATTGAGGTTCTTGTCTATTGTTGTTACTTTAATAAAATTATCTTAACTCGAAAAATATTGTGCCTAAAAGGATCCATAAGTTAACATTGACACGTCAATTCTTCTGGGTCCATATAGTAGACAAGTTGCTTAATCGTAAAAATTGGAAGTATTTCGTGTGAAATAATTTTTCCACTGTAAATGGAGACCCATTTTTTTCATTTTCGCTTATCGAGAGTTCGAGAGGCCAACGCGTGTTGGATTCAGAAAGCGAGGAATCGCAAACCTGGAGAAATTGGGTCGTTTTATTTCGAAGAGCGTTCCTCCTCATCCTGTTCGCTTTCTGCCTCGCTTGCTTGCCATGTCTAAGTCCGCCTCCACTTCCGTCTTCCAGAACCTGATGCGTTTCATCAAGAAGCCATGGGAGATCACGGGTCCGTGCGCCGACATGGAATACAAGTCGGCATTGACCAGCGCGCTCGAGTATCGAGTCTTCTGTCCCGCCACCACCCGGGAAAAAGCCATTGTGCCCACATCCAATCCTGAAACCGTTTACGACATCAAGTACTACACTCGCGATCAACGGCGGAATCGTCCTCCGATCCGCCGCACCATCTTGAAGAAGGCCGATGTGGAGAAAATGATGAAGGAGAATACATTTGACGTTTCGGATTTCCCCCCTGTTTACGTGACTGCGACGATTGAAGAGGACATGAATGCACGAGGTGGAGGCTACCAGAAATAGGTGAGCTTTGCGATTTACCTTCTGTATGACTTTTGATGAGAAAATATTACATTTTTCGTAGGTTATGGTGAGTAAGCTTCTAAAAAAATTGGTTTTTGTGATTTGGGGTTTCGTATTTTGGCCTGGGTTTGTTAATTTCGTTTACTTAATGCTATAATAATCTGGAATTATACTTGGGCGTGTTCGCCGCTTCTTATTATTTTACTTCGTTATGCATCAAGGCTAGTGTATTCCACAGTTATACTTCAGAATTTTCTACTCGTGGTGGATTATGATATGCCATTGATGTTTAAAAGTAGTAGTTTTTGCATGGAACTCTTCCAACAGAAAGTACTTTCTTTATAGAACGATGGCACGGGCATCGATATTATCAATTGACAATGGACCCTTTCCCTTGAGCTGATGTTTGACAAGATCTGGCTTTTGAGACTGGCAAATATTGAATTGACAAGTTGCAAGGTCTATAATCTATGGAGTAAGCGAGCGAGTAACACATGTAGGCTCTTTGGGTAGCTTCATATGGACTCTGTTGTTGGAGTGCAGTCTATGAACTTTCGAACATCTTAAATACTAGATAGGGAAAGTAAAGATATATATCTATATATATTTTCCAACTTTCAAGACTTAGATGTCAATTTACCCTTCTTTCTTTTGTTGGTTTTATCTTGAACTTATAGATTTTTAAGATTTTCAAACTTAGCTTTTGTATCCTTTAGATATAAACTTTGTTGTATGCATAATTTGTCCACAGACATGTAGGAAGCTATTCTGCTCTGCATTCAGCAAGTTGACTTTGTATTTGGTTTTACTTTTTTAACATCTGATGTGTGGTAACGGTTCATTGAATGGCTTCTTCTTGAAACAATTTTTGTTGTGACAAGGACATGAATATTTCAGGGATAGGGGATTAGTGAAGCATTAGAGCCTTTTGCTGGAGAGTGACAACAAATTTAAATGCTGGAATTTAATGTGATTGAAGGGTTTATTGAAGGTCCTTTTGTGTTTTGACTTGAGTCTTATTTGATCCTTCTCTTTTGTCACCTTGTCTAATATTTTTTGCCCCAATAAATCCATTTAGTTTAGTATTTACGGCCATCTTATATTGGTTAACTTGTATACATCTAAAGATGCATTATCAAATGCGGTTAGGGTGACAATTTAGGCACAACCTGTGGGTAATCAAACTGTCCTGCTCTGCTTGGGTTGGGTTAGCCAGCATTTGATTGGGATTTGGGGTGGGTTTGGAGAAAATCAGAAAATCCGATCTTTATAGTTCACATTTGAGGCAGGATCAGTGCCAGGTAGTTCTGATCAGTGCTCTATTTTGTTCTTATGGTCATTTATTCCATTGTTGTAGTGGGTTTTGGTGAGGAATATCTGTTACACTTGACAACTTTAAAATCCTTTAGTCTATTGTCTGATTTAGCAATCAAATCCACGAAATATAGTCCACAGAATCACAAAGGTAAGCATTTTGTGGTTTTGGCATGTAGAACCTTAATGCTTTGACAATATGTTGTCAAATCATGCCATGAATTGGAAAGCATATTTTGAAAACACATTGAATCATTGGATTCATTAATGAGTGAAAAATAATGACCTGGAGGCTATTTTTCTAATTGTGAATCACAAATTATATGAAATTGTAAGATTCAGAGACAACTTTTTAAATAGCTTGAAATATACCATATAAATGATGCGTGAATCTATAGCATAATCGATTTTAGCCAGGACCTTAAAAAATTACTTAACCATTAGTCTCACAATCACAAGTGACAGATCTTATTAACCCATTCTTAACCATCTTTTTCTGATGTTTTATGTTCACCAGCAGTAGCGAAGCAACACTGCAATCCCAATGCTCGTTTCACCTCACAGGCTCATATTAGAGCTTGGCTTCTGAAAATTAGAAAGAAACAGCTCAAGTTTTTCTGCTAGACAGAATTAGAGGAGTAGGTGAGAATGAGAATTGAGAAGTTTCTTGGTGTCAAATTTTTTGAGAATGAAATGGCACTGTAAAGCATCACTCATTATTCACACAGATTTGATTAAGAGTTCGTAAACAAAATTTTAACGTTGCATTGCATTTTGGGTTTGGGGTTCTGTCGAGCCCACCTAGTGGGATAAGGCTTGTTGTTGTTGTTGTATTACATTTTGGGTTTCTGAGGGGTTCTAGTGCAAGGGGAAAAAAGAAGAAAAAGAACCCAATTTATATATATATTCATATTCAATTCATGAATGATGCATACTCCTTTAGTCCTATTTATGAGAGAGTATTCATTTTGGTCCTATTTATAAGGCACCTCAATAGTTATTTTGTCCATCTTTACCCTTTTGGCCCTATTAAATGCTAGTAAAGTTATTAAATGTTAGAGTATTTCATTTTTAAAGTATGTATATTTAATAGGGGTAAAGTTGAAAGCTTGTTGAATTTTTAGACAGAGTTAATGATAATGAGGTTTAAGTTTTTTTTTTGTTCTGGTTAAACATGCTGAAAGTTACTTATAAATAGGAGCAGAGGGAGTATGTTGCAAGACATAAAAGAACCTCCAGGAAATTGACAGAGGCTGAATGTAATAAGTTTCTGGATTGTGGTATTCCTATTTTCTTTGGCTCAGACTGCATGATTTAAGTGGTGATTCCATTCACAGTTTCATTTATCCTATGATTGTTGTTATGGCATTACCAGCTCAATCAAAAATTGCACAAGAAACCATGTACTTTTGATCACAATCATTTGATATTTTTTGTTCAAAAATTTTATCTTTCAAATGTTAATTTTTAATTGGAAGATTAAAAATTAACTACTAAAATGGATGCTTAGTTGTTCGCATGGATAATGATAAAATAGAACCTTCTGTGAAAGGTTATCATTATTAGAAATTTCGATTCTGTCTGTGGAATGTGAAACTTTAGTACATAAATTGTTTTGTTGTAGCTCCATGAATGTATATGGTCAAGAACCACTTTGCCTGTATAGGCTTAAACTGCTAAGTGAAAGCTTGTGAATAATTTTATAATTTCCTGTGTGCCCCTGCACTTAAAGCCATTTAGGCCTCAAGTGTGGACTAAGCACAACACCATCATACCATTTGTTGAAAATTTTAGTTAGGAGAGTGAGGGAAGTGAGAATTGAACTCTTTACTGCTTTGTCATGGAGGATTGAACTCTTTCCTGCTTTGTCATGGAGGATATGATATTTTATCATGAACTACTTCACCCAAAAGCTAAAGTTTAAGTAAAGGCGCATGATTAGTTTTCTCATAATATCCACCATACATTTTGTTATCCTGAGTTCCTTTCAAGCTATAGAATGGAGGTTTTGTTTGAATTGCTTGTGTGCTTGAATGTCAGTTTTCCATTAGCGTCAATATGGCGTTCTGATTTCTGGAAGTGGTTACAATCATGAGGACTACTTGCACACTAAATTTATTTTAAGACCCATCTGGAGCAAATGGGACTCATAAATTGCTGGACAATTCACTGCGGCACTGCCTTTGATTCGTTTTTCCCCCCTCTTTCGGTGTTTATAGTTTATGATTTTGCATTTGATGTTATTTCTGTTGTAAACTATTGTAGTGTGAATAGAATTGTTAATGAATTACGATAGCCATCTGAAATATCTATTGCTTTGGGTTGGAGTGACGGTCAATAACTAATTTTGTTTTGCATGCCACCAGGTGTGTGCGATCATGGAATGGCGGGCACAGTTCAATCACCTATCTGTTCTAGTCAGTGAAAAGTTTGATTAGTGATGTTTGTGAAGGATGTCCATTTTTAAAAGTGTAACCACCATATGTCAATAAAGCATAGTTTGCTGCAGTGAAGTTTGACTTTTTGTACTTCTCTTTGAATGTTGATCAAAAGTCAATCACTTCGGTTAATTGCTCATGCATAAATTGAATGATTCCTGAAGTTTTTGTGTTCTTACCGGTAATTCTCTGCAGTGTGATTGCAACAATGTGTCTGGCATGCAAATTGACGCCCAGTGTTTCATTTTCTTCACAGAAAGTCCAATTACTGTTTTTTTTTTTGTTTAGTGTCTTTTGGTTTATCTTAAGTGGCGATATGCTTGTCTCTTGTCGTGGCCTCGTGGGCTGCTCCATTATTGATTGTGTTACTTATTTAGTTGTATCATAAGGATCTTATCGTGCCGGTTTTCTTCCAGTGAAGGAGATATGAAAGTCATGGTTCATTGTAAATAGCCGATGTTCCGGCGTGTTAGGAAAATATGACGATGCAAGGAGAAGCAATATGGATGGATCTGTACCCTGTATTTCCATGCCAAGTCTAGCAAGCTATTTATTGGGTGTTGTGGAAGCAATTTTTCTGCATAGATCTGCAGAATTGCGAATTGCTGTTGGGTCTTGCTTTCCATGTCACAAATGTCTGTGAGTGTACAATTCCTCAAAATCTGGATTTTAATTTTGACATGGGGGCCGCTTGTGGCTTTTATTTCTCCTACTCCTACCTTGTTCAGAACTTTGCGTTGAAAGTGGTTTCACAATCCGTAGGAAGCAGAGGACGTAAACACAAGAAAATCATTAGGTCAAAGGACAGCTCAAAAGTGGCAAAGCATCTAGGCCAGTCTAACATTAGATGCCAGTTGATGCTAATTCCGTCTCTTGTACTGTCTTGTCGCTGTTCAACTTACAATAATCCCTATCAGAGTGGAATAGAGCTCACAGTCAATGAGTTGCGGTTGACGCTTGGCCACTGAACTAGAAGGGCAGAACTTATGCGACATGCCTGGCTAGACAAGTTCTCAGAATTGAGTCATTATTTGGAATGTACTATATGCTGATAAAGGAGGCAAAATCATAGATGATCGCATAAAACTAATTCTTATACAAATGACCTATAATTATCATATTGAAAATCAGGTTAACTTGTTTAGTTGAATTAGTAAATTATTAAATTAGGAGTTTGACTAATTTAATTAAATGCTTTGTACATGATTGATCTAATCATGGTTCAATTATAATTTTGACCATTAATTGAATCAATGCATTGATCAGTTCAATAACCTCAAAGGTTTTCAATACCTGGCATATAATGTATCCTTACACTAAATGTCAATTGCTTATGCTTTATATTTGAAGTGATAAAATGTTATGTAATGAATTAGATATAATAAAGTACAAGAAAGCATAAGAAGCACATAAAATGTAGGGACTTAGATTAAAAATTTAGAAACAAGGCATGGAAGGGTGGGAGGGAGAAGAGGATAGAGATGGGTGATAAGAATGTTGGAGTTCAGAAAAGGAAGGATAGGGTTAGGGTTAGTGGGGAGGCAGAAAAGGAAGGTGAAGTGGAAGGAGCTTGCTTGTCGTCTTTGCTTCTTCTTTTTCCAAATGCTTTGCAATTGGCATGCCTCCATGCTTGCTTGCTGGACCACTTGTTCTTCTTCCTCTTCGCTTTCTATGAAATGAATTATTAAACCCTGAATGAAGATTATTGGGTTGGGTTGATGGTAAGAAGAGAGAGGAGGGGCTTTTGGCATCTATGTGTGGTGTTTATGTCGAGAGGTCGCTTTTGGTGGGCTTGCGGCACAGAGCAGTAACTGCCTCTGCCTCTGCCTCACCAAATGGGGGCACCACATTTACACGCTTCCCATGAAATCTCTCCCTCCCTCTCTCCCTCTTCATCATTCTTTTATCATTGTATCCCCCCTTTGTTTTTAACTTCTTATACATGCTCACAATCACACCTACATTTTGGGTTCTTACTTGTAGGACTATTTATTAATCAATTATTTATTTTTTTCTATGTTTAAAATGTTATCCTTCATTTTTTAGGCTCACTTAAACTCACTGCTTGGGATCAAGTGGTTTTACTTGATAAAATTACATTTGTTCTCTTCTTTTTTTTTTCCCCGAAAAAAGAAGGCCAATTAAATGCAAGTGGCCAATACGGGAGGCTTAAAGTTAATTCAATAAAACTTTTGAGGGTCAAAGAAAATAATAAAGGTTTTCAGAAACCAATAAAAAAAGAGGCAATTTCTATAAAATAAAAAATACTAAGAATTAAATGAATAAAACTTGAGAGACTGGCGTGCGTACATGCGTGGGTAGTTAAAAAAAGCCAACCGGCAATGGGAATTTGGCTCTGTGTGGTGGTTTTAGCGATAAAGCTAACGAAGGATCTCTATCAGAGCACTACACACGAAAGTCATTAAATGAAATGGGGTCGTCATGTTTATAAATAGCTGCCCTCTTTCACAGATGACGCTGATTGTATTCACAACCCTTTCTTCGCACTTATTTCTTATGATGTGCCCTTTTCATCTGCTTCCCAGACAATACACACACACATGCACACACACACATCTTTATATATATATATAGCCCAAAATTTATGTCTTCCAATTGTTACCCTCCTTTTTCTCCTGTCACGCTTAAATGTTCTGCTGCATGCAGCCCTTCAAACCACAATTATAATATTTCTGCATGGCAGTGAATTATTAGCTTATCATACATACATACATACATACATACATACATACATACATACATAAACTCCATATACATGACCAGAGGAAAAGTAATTATGGTTTGAGTTTTGACCATTTGGTTTTGGATCCCCAAAGTACGTACAGTTCAATCTTTACAAATGTTTATTATTCACTGATCATTTTAATATTGGTTTGTGGTGACCCCAGATTGTTCAGAGTTGTGTGAGAGGGTAAATATATATAGGCGATGAAGGATCGATATAATAATAATGTCATATCCATTTAGGTGCTTTCACAGACAAGAATTCATATCTTTACAAAACCTCTTCTCGTTAAGTCCACCACTCTCTGCAATAACTATAACTGAAATTGAAAGAAAATAATGCCCAGACGTATAATAAAACAAAAACACACTTGGCCAATCGACAACCCAGCACGTCCATTTCAAAAGCAGATACACAAAACATTAATGATCACTTGGCCATTTCAATTTGTATCAAAGTTCATAAACTCTCTCAATATGTCTGAGAGGCGCAGTTAAAAAAAAAAGATTTTTTTTACTGATTCAACGTTCCAAAGTATATATACTCTACATAGCTTGACTACTCTTGTATAACTGATTAAATTTAGGGTATTGTATATGATGATTTAAAATTAAAGAGGCATTCGGTAGGGAAATGTAATGAAGCACGAGAGAGACATTGAATTATTGTTGATGGGGTTGAATATATCCAATTAGGGTTTCAAGGAAACAATCCATAAAGTAGGGCTCAGATTTTGACCAGTATAAAATGAACTAGGTGCATGCAGTAAGTGTTGTTGTGGTGTCATGAAGTCTCTCTCAATTATTTTGGTGAAGATTCCCAATTTCTAGACATTGTTGAGTGAATGGTCTTCAACCTTCACTCCTGAAGGGAAAAAGCTGCATCCTCTCTTATTCATCATAGATACTTTGTCACTTCTCTCTCCTCAGATCCAGCGTACTCAAACTCAAAGTCTAGCTTTTCATGGCTGCTGCCTACTCAAAAGCTAACTACTAGTTTACGTGCTGTGCTGTTTAGCTTTCATATATATCAATTCAGCTTAACTTTTAACTGTGAGTGATGAAACTATCAAGAAGGTAAGTTTGATCGCCATCAGTTTTTTTGCTTTTTTGGGTAGTAGCGGCAATAAGACTGATGAAGAGCCTGGGTTCTTCTTCACTCACTCACTTGACTTATCCTCTTCAGCTTTTTGATCTGTTGAACCCCAAATACTTGTATATTCCTTCCGACGGCTGGTGGGCTATGAAATAAGCTTATCATGAATATTAGATATGACATCATAACCAACTAAGTACAAAACAATAATTTTGTATATGTATTTTATTTAATTATATGTATTCTAACATTATAAATCAGAAAACCATATCTTGCCATCCAAACTTGTTACTAAATTTGGACTATATATGTATGGAGGCATGTAACTATTGGGCTGTTAAGGTCAGTAAAAGCTGAGAGGTGGAAGCAACTTCTACGGATTCACAAAGACAGTTTTATTTGTTCTCATTATCATTAGTAAATTACACTAAATTTCTTTTAAAATTTAATTAAATTATACATGATATATTATTATTCTTTCAAAAAGCCTTTCCAACTTTTTCTAGATTAAATTTTTCGTCAATAAAATTGTTTCACGTAATACGCATGTCTTTAATTAAAAAATATACAAAAACAACTTGATTGTCATATTTACTGCATATGATACTTAAAGAATTAAATCACAATACTGATCATATATTGGATCTTTACATTAAGTTAGCTGTTTTCAACATTTTATTATCATCATATTAAGAACAAAATCACATGGATCACATGGCATATTGTGTACAAATTAACTGAATTCCTTAACAAATTAAAGAAAATGAGAGATGATATTTTGATAATACTTACATATTTCAATATAATACTTACATATTGATGAAATATCAGGGGAATCGAATATAAGAACCTAAATGTTATCAAGCACTGTAATTTTTAAGATCAGATGCATAAACCACTTGGAGAGAAATTAGAGGAATAATTAAACCAACATTAACTTGATGTAGAATGAAAGATTTATGTGGAGAAAGAGTCCAAGTTGTGCTGTGCAAATCTCACTGCCATATCTGCATGTGGTCCTTTTTTAAATTTCCTCTATAAGTTGAGTAGTGGATCGATCCTTTAAAGAACCTAAGTTGGTCCCTCCTCTATATAGTGCAGCTATCTATCGTCTTCTATATCCTCTAATCCAACTGATCCTCTGACTCCAATAGCATCCACCACACCTTTTGGAACATCTGTCATTAACACTTATCTTCTTCATTTCACCACAATATATCCCTATAATTACTATTTAATCTGCTTAGTTTTCTCTATAATGCTTTCAATTAGTTGTTTACCACTAACACCAAGCCCGTGTGCCGTTTTACTGATATTTATAGTGTTGATCTGTTTATGCGTAAATAGTTCCTCTATACAAGTAACCTAATCAAGCCTATTAAACACAATATCCTGATAAAGCATACACTAGATACTCATCACTAATTAATTAGGTTTTATCTGTACATGATGTATTTTTTCCGTCTTGCAATCACTCATAGGAGAGTAAACCATTGCTGTCCCCTCAAGTTAATTTTCCCCATTGTTTTCTTCTTTAATTTCTCAATTCAAGATATATATATATATATATATATAGTTCAGCCTGTATATATCACATTCTAACTAAACAATTTAAATATAATTGTGCTTATAATGGTTAATCATGAGGCCAGTAATTGTTCAGTATAAAGTAGTATATGTTGAAGCCCAAGCTAAATTACTGGTGGCAGCGTGGATGACATACGTGTTACATTCACATGGTGCCACGTGGAAACAACTTAATTCCGTTCACATTGTGGCCTGTTGCTGTTAAAATTCCAACATTTCTTTACCAAAGCTTTCATTTCTATATTTTCTTCTCTTAAAAAAAAAAAAGGTTCAAGACTAAACTTGAGTTCTCTTCTTCTCTACTTATTGGCCTTGAAGAGCTCTCCTTTTGGAAGGACTTTGCTGTGCTCCCATCTTCTTCTGTGCTGCTCCTCCTCCTGCTGTTTATTTCCTTGTCTATGGTGGAAGCTTAAAGATACAGCACCCTCAGAACTTTCTCTCCTCTGACGTAAGTTTTTATAATACTCTCTTGGATGATCTGATTTCTAACCTAAGCACTATGCATATCTTCATCTGTTTTCAACAAAACCGGTAAAATTTGCTTCCAATTAAGGTATATGGTTTTGGTTTCAAACATTAATTGCGTTTTGCCCTATTCTGGAGCGACATAAAGTTGAAGAATTCTCACACGGAATTGAAAAACGGATTTCATCAGTATGTAATTTCTATTCCCTGGGGAGAATTCTTAATTTTATGAACCAAATCTGTACTTTATTAATATGCCTTCCTGATTCTGTGCATAATATTTACAAGTAACAAAAAACGAAGATATATAGGGATCGGAGAAGATGATTATATCACATACCTGACCGATGAATTTCTGTAATCGATTGCTTGCAGACAGCAGGCGATCCATGAGAAGAGTATTTTAGCAAATAATTAAGATGATGATTGGAAATTCAAGAAAAGGTTATCAAGGGAAGCAAGAGGATGATAGCAGCACTACTCATCATCATCAACAACAAATCATTAGTAACAGTATCGAGAAGTTGTACAGCAAGGTAGGCTCTTCTTCCTCTTCTTCAAGACAATGGTCAGGTCTGAGAAACCCGAGAATCGTGCGAGTCTCACGGTCTTTTGGAGGGAAAGACAGGCACAGCAAGGTCTGCACCATTAGAGGGCTCAGAGACAGAAGGATCAGGCTGTCCGTGCCCACAGCGATTCAGCTATATGAGCTTCAAGATCGGCTTGGACTCAACCAGCCCAGCAAGGTCATTGACTGGCTCATTGAAGCCACAAAACAAGATATTGATAAGCTCCCACCTCTTCCAATCCCCCTTGGTTTCCCCCAATTTCATCACCAACACGGCCAAACCCTACTTCCTGATCATGAATCAAATTCTTCCTCTCAGCCACCTTCTCAGTTCGGTGCTTTCTTTGATGCTAATAACAACACTAGTTTCATGGATGCAGTGTCGAGGCTAAAAGGAAAAGAGTTGGATGAAAGAGGAGGGTGTGTGTGGGATAAAGGGAAGTGGGTGATGAAAACAAACAATGAACAAGACGGAATTGGTGGTTCTGCTCAGAATCTTTTCCCATCTGGGAATGCTCCTTCTCACTCTAATTTACCTATGACGTATTATAATAGTTCCTTTCATTCTGAGCCTTCAAATTTTCTATCTTTATTTGGAAGCCATGCTGTGTTTCCTAATAATAACAACAATCACCAGATAGATCCTGCCCATACTAGTGTGCAGTTCCCATCTTCCTCGTCAGCTGTTTCCCAACTGTTGTTTTGTCCAAGTGCATCTGCAACAGCACCGCCACTTTTTGCTCCTTATTATGCTCCGTATTCCTCAGTGTCATCACTGGAAACAGACCCAAGAGTGCAACATTTGAACCATATTCAGTTGATGAGCTCATTTAATTCTCATCCTCATCCTCTCGTTCTTCCATCTCTGAAACCCCTTATTCCAACACCGCCTTTCAGTTCCAGGCTTCTTGATTCAAATGATAATAAGGAAACTACTCCGTCTTGAAGGACACTGGGTGCTTGTGTGCTGGCTAGCTTCTCTTCATCAGATATTCTTCCTGCTAATTAATTATTGATCGAGAAGCTAATTGAAGCACATACGGCCTCAATCTGCGTGCCTTTGATGTATTTATATGCATTTTTCAGAAGCTAATAAGTCATGAATTCGTTCGCACCTGTAAGTATGACAGTAAGTGAATCTTTATGCGTCCACTTTTATATTTCATTATGATTATTTATCAAACTCAAAATAGATAGCTGGTTTGAATCAAGTTATTTGCTCATTTGTTTTTGCATTGTTCAACAAATAAAGGTCTTTTAATAAAAAAGGAAAACTTAATTAATCATGCAATGCTATGCTGTAAAAATGATCCAGATGTGACACACACACATATATATATATATATATAAGTGGGATGAGAATGGTGTTTAGAAGTACACAATAAGAAAAATAATGAAGATATCATGAGAAAAATCCATGGCGGATTGTAGTAGCTAGCTTGTTTATGAATTCTGCTTGTTTTGACTTGGCATTCACTTAATACACACATACTTTAATAATATTCCTTTTTAATAATTAATGAGAAAAACGGGTCATTGATAAGCAGATCATGCTAGTTTAGTGGTACATTAAGATGCTGATCTTCATTAAACATAAATACACGGTTAACCCTGTGTGTTTCTGTGTTTGTGAGTTTTAGGCTTATACCGAAACATATATGGTGAGATATATATATGACCACACTTGACCGAGTCAGATAATTGTTTCTGATGAGGCGCAAGTTTTTGGGAAAATTCTCTCTCTCTCCCCCCCCCCCTCTCTCTAGATGTATTATTTTAGGATAATTTTATAAGGCGTATTTGGCGAATGACCCACCCACGTTATTGTCTTGCAACCATATATGGGTTGATCGGTATGCAGTTTTTGTCATAAATTAAGTCAGCTTTTTCATACTTTTCCAAGTTTACAATAAAAGCATTTGAGTGTCAATACACCTCAGCTGAGTCTACGTTCTTGTCCATTTAAAACAACCCTATAATGATAACTAAAGTCAAACAAATTAATTAATCTAATTAATAATTCCCACCCGCAGACACATTCTAATTAATCAGGTTCTGCGGTGACAGCAACAATCTCATATAATGCATTTAGGTAGAGAAGGAAAAATATGCACACGATCCTATACCCTTTTGTGCCATTTTCTCGAAATAATTGAATAATTATAAGTAAATATACACACAAGCATTCATCAAATTCCCTCATGAAACAGATAGCAAAGCTAACCCACATTAATCATTACATAATTGGGAAATTCAAATTCAAATTAAAGGACGTACGGTATAAATGTTGAACAAGCTTTTACAGTGCTTGTTACATACATAGTGTGTGTGTGTGTCGTGCGTGCATGCAGCTAGAAATAAGCAAGCCGACCTAAAGAGGCAATAGTACAAAAGCTTCATATCACTGTTAGTAGAGTCGACTATTCTCGTAAAGACAGCGAGCCACCAAGAGATCATGCCCTACAAACAAATATCTACGAATATTATGTTAGCAGAAAAAAGAAAAAGACAAAAAAAAAAAAAAGTCGGAACCTTTTAATTATAACCTAGTGACAAATTAAAGTTGATCATTGTGAGCTTTGCACGACTAGCAAAAAGAAAAAGCTGTCACTCTATCCATACTTCTATACGCTCCGAAGTTTCTGATCAACGCACGGTTAATAATTTGTTTTGAATTCTTTATATATTTATGTATATATCCTTTTTTTTTTATATTAAAGATATGAATCATATGATCAGATAGTGATGATGAACTTTATACATTTTTAGTCAAATTTTGGCCAATATATATTTATATAGGGAGATAAGAGGAAAGCATTCATGTCCATCCTCAATTTGGGCTGTATAAGTAAATAATGATCAGACTTAGACCATTTATATTTTTTATTTTAAAGATAACAAAAATTAATACTATATAGAGAGAGAGAGACAGAGACAGATTAATAGTGCATATGAATAAAATTGAAATTATAATTAAAACTTTATTTTAAAAAGGAATACGATATAGTCGTTTCAATATCAATATAAGAAAATTTAAGATTAAGAGATGTGAATATATGGGTCTGAGAATTCAGAAATCATAATGTGATGTTGATGTTGTGTGCCCTAGGCATGGCAAGGGAACAACACCCAAAGTTCAAAGAAGGATAAAAGGGAGAAAATGTGAGAGAATCCACGTACGTACAGTTGTTCTGACGAAGGAAAAGGAAGCAACATAATAGAATCACAGACACAGAGGCTGAGATCGAAAGCTGTGCGTGTGTAGCTATATATACATACTATAATTCACACACAATAATATACAGATTGATAGCACAAGATCCAACACCATTTAATTAAAGCAGGTGGGAACGACTCAGTTTTGTTGCTTCTGCTTCTTCTAGTTGGGTTTTTTAAAACACTCCTTTAAAGTTGCATCCAAGAAAACCACCAAAAGTTCTGTGGTCCTTTCTTGAATTCACGCTTCCATGTGTAAATATGTCACATCTAAACAGTTCAATCTAAGTTATATGTTCATTATATACACGCAACCCGGCTTATTAGAGTATATATTAAAAGAAAAGAGATTTTGCAATTTTTGAGAAAAAAATATTCTCACATTATTATGGTCAAACATGTTTTGACTGAACGAATTTCTAAACACACACATTAGTGCAGTATGACAGTAGAATGACAATTGTATATGAAAAGTAAGGTTCCGGATCATATCGTTAATAAATTTTTATTCTTGGAAACTCAACAAAATAAATATAATTACACGCGGGGTTCCATATATATATGATGATTAATTACTTTAATTACTCCAAACCTTTTTTTGGTTGATCCGGCAATTACTTTAGGGTCTATATGTAATGTCGTTAGTTGACGATGGCTAGCATTTGAGTAATGATTTTAGGGGCAAAATCAGGTCATTCAAGCTCAACCATTGCGTCCATGGTACTCTCAATTATATATATGCTTTCTAGTTTTTCGCAACTATATTTTTGTGTTTTTTGGTACAATATTGTCTGATGCAAACTTTTCGAAGGGAGAGGAGACACTCACATGGTCCATGTCCAAATAAATGAGGGATGTTGTTACCTATAACATAATCGGACCACACAAATTAAATCTCCGTGTGATCACAATGTTGAGGAAATTAAATTATAATATATATCCATCAACAGGTCCTAATTAAAATTCAAATTCTTGCAGCTGTAATTATTGGAAGCTTAATTTGGATCAGTTGACTTGACGTCTGATCTAATTACGTACCCAAGGAGTCAAAAAGGTATAAAGCGAAATAATTAAATTGTAAAATTAATGAAAGGTTTGCTTCCTTCAATTGATATATATGATCCGGAGTGATCAATAACAAAAGTTGAGAACGAGATGATAATATGAAGATATTTTAGAAATGTATGCATGTTTCAATGTATGAAATGTTTTGCATGCGCTTTGTAGGCGTGCAGACGAGTACTTGCTGGCCATCCTATCACCAATTTTTGGGACATGTGGTCCTGTGTGTGTGTGTATATATCTCTGACTATGTATGATATATATATATATATATATATCTCTCTCTCTCTCTCACACCTCTCACTCCCACTCGTGCTTCCTTTACAAGGACCACATTTCACCCTTCTTTCTTCTTTTCTCTCCTTTTCCTTTTACGTTTTCTTTTTTTCTTTTTAAGATGGAAGCAGCAGAAATGAGAAGACCACTCCACCTCTGTGTGTACACATGCAATTATACATTATATAGTTCCAACTTCATTCCCTTCTAGAGCCATCAATAAAGGTTGAATTCTTTGAATTATCTTTTTAAACTCTATATTTTTCTATGATATCGTGCTTGAAAAATAAAATTTTTTTATTAAAAGTGATTTTAGGCCTAACTCTTATAAACCCTGTTAAAAATAGCTTGAATTAGTCTTTTCAATTTGACTTATGGATTTAAGTCCTTAATAGTCAGACTTTTAAGGGTTGAACTAGCCTTTATTGATAGTTCTATTTCCTTCTCTTCCTTTTTCAATTAATTAAGGTAAAAAAAAAATCCAATGGGGTTTGAATCTAATAGAAGAAACTAGTCCTCCATGGCAAGCTAAGGTTCAAATTCTTATTAGAAGAGGTGCCCACATCTAGTGTCTAACCATGATTGCATTGCACACGATTGTGCAACAATCGAGAAATTTAAGCCTGCTGAATTGAGATTAATGAGGTTAATTAATGTGGTACGCATCTAGAGAGGTTTAATAAGTGAGTTTGATTGTGATTTCAACCCTAAATGTGAGTCCAAAATGAAGTCAAGCCATCTAGGCATTGAAGAGGAGAAAGGATAGAAGAAAGACCCTTGATGCCACATGCCATGGTGTGAGAAATGTTTGCCACAGCGTACAGAGACAAAAACATGAGGAAGAGCCTTTTTGTGCTATGCGTCATGGCAGGAGGCTGCATACACTACAATGCACGACCAAAATTCTGGTTAAATCAGTTTGTGCCTGTTCAATTTGTGGGTTACTAGTGGTTGAGGACCATTAATATAGTATGTGCCCGTTCAATTTGTGAGTTACTAGTGGTTAAATTAGTTTGTGCCTGTTTTGAGTATTTAAGCCCTGCATTAATGATTTTGTGAGTTACTAGTGGTTAAGGACTATTAAAACACGAAAATAGCAATAAATAAGGTTGTTGGAAGTGTTGATGATCATTAATGGTGGTTTAATGACTCATTAATGACAATGTGGGTCATTGAAACCTAGTAAACCGATTGGGTATGATAGGTAGTAGATTTATCATGTTGATCGAATGAGAATATGGAGTTCAATGTTAGGAAAGTTACTTAAAGAGGGATATTAATGAATGTCCTTATGATTGGTTGTAGATTATCTAATTCCGACACCACTCAAGCTAATTTGGAACCTTTGGAAGCTTGTGTTTTGAGGGGTAAACCTTTTACCTTTCAAAGATTTGAAATAACTGGAGAAAAATCTTGTTTGTATAATTGTATGTTACTTGTTTATTTATTAACTTAAACCATTTGAAAATTCATTTGGCTATTTAATAACCCATTGATGCAAATGTTACAATATGTTGTATTGTGATGTGAATGTATATGAGTGTGGAGAAATGATATGCATGTTTGTACAATTACGATTAATGTTGATGTTTTGAGAACATGCTTTTATAGAAATGATGAATGATATTTGCTATGTGTTGTATAATGGAGAGAACAT